TGTTCCTAAAGCTATCATCTGCAGCTAGCCTAATCTTTTCCAACTGCTTTTTTTAAATTTCTCGATAAATATAGCATTCTTGTAACTAGTGATAAATATAACTTGATGTTCCTACATGTTAAACAGTGGCAGAGGTCTCAACAAAGATTCGCTGGGTTTGCCACCTCGATGCCATAAAACAAACATGAAGTAAACGTAATGGCACGCTAACCATGGTTTTGTACTGCATGATGTCAGATTAAATCAAAACATACTTAGTATCGTGTGAAATGACGTGTCGAATCTCCCACGATTGTACAAATCAGCAAAAAATTTACTTTCATTAAGGCCTTGCAGCACGTTTGAAGTAGAAATCACGTATTTTGTTTCCTTACACTGACATATTACAAATTTGTGAAATAACTTTAAAGTTTCCGCCTTTAGCCCACAAATTTTAAGCTAATAAAATAATACATATAATATCGTTGTATATTAAATAAATAAATCTCTCTTCATTGCCTCCATTATAAACAAAATCATAAAACAATAACTATAAAAACCTTAAAAACAACTACATAAGTGAAACATCATAAGAGATTTAGTTACAGGACGCAAAAGGAGAGTTTCAGCTGGTGCATAGCCAAACAATTGTTGTCAAATAAGGATACACGACCAAAATAAAAGACGCTTGATGCGAATGAAGTTTTATATTTGACATTGTCTTCATTTGGTCGAATATACTTATGACAGTAATTGTTTCCAGCGAATGTCGGACAGAGAACGAATGTAGATCCCCTGCTCCTGTTCAAGACATTCGCAGCGAAGGTTTTCAGTCACCCCTTCTCACTTAAATGTAATGCGGGTCAATATAAAGTTGTGTACATCCAAATGACGCATCCTGTGTATACTTATGTCATTATAACTTCGATGGAAAGACTTCCTAACAAATACAACAATGTTAGGTTGCTTGCAAAGTTTTAAAGCGTTTGTTTTGACAGCGCCAACAGAAAAAAATCAATAGGTAAAATATTATATTACAAACATTGACTTACAATTATATGGACGTCGGGTCCGCGCTAAAAAGTGTCCGAAGTTATAGGGCGTTAAAATCGTATACAGAGCGTCATTCACGCTTTAGTCTTCGTTTGTTCGACTGACAGCGAAGCAAACAAAATTAGACAGTACTGCGATGACATTACAATTTAAATTCAACTTTTTAGCTTTTTCATATTCTTTTACATGTCACTACGTTTAAATAGCTTGACTTAGGACATTTTTTTCATGGTTTTTGTATTAGACCCGTCGTCCATTTATTTGTAAGTCAATGATTACAAAACATTTTTTTTACTCACGATGCTATCTGTCAATGTTGCGCAGGAAAGTCAAATATTCATTATTAATTAAATATGTAGTGTACATATATATATGATTAATATATATCTATGATTACACTACGTAGTGCAATACACTGTTTATATTAAAAAGTAATAATGAATCTTTTATATTAAGATATTGCTTCAGGCATACAAACAGCATCTTGTCGTACTAGCCCTACTGATTATTGCAAAGTTATCCTAAATGACTACGACAGTTTAGTTAGAAGAAAGTTTTATAAGTATAAATAAATAATTATAAGAATTTTGTTTTGATGTTTTAATTTTTATTCATTCAGTATTTCCGAGACATATTAATCATTCACTTTATGTATATTCACATATTCACTCTATATGTATTTAGTAGCAGTAGAGCTCCTTAAAATAGAGTTCGTCCAGGGCTGTACTGCCACCTTACCTATTTCTGCCGCCAAGCAGTAATGTCAGCATTCCTGTGTTCCGATTTTGAAGGGTAAGGGTGCTGGTGAAATTACAGGCACATGGGATTTGTCAACTTATGTCTCAGGTTGACGGGCGCAGTGCAGTGCCACTCAGATCTTTGCTATTTAAAGTTCTGAGTGGCATTGCAACTGTTATAGACTAGTTTATCATCAGGCGACTTGTTCGTCCCGTCACTTGATATTATAAAAAAAAAATCACATAGAGTGTATAAAAGTGCCTGCAGATTTGCTCGACTTTTTGACGATCGAACCAAATCGAGTAAATGTGTAACCAACTGAAGATCGAGAACGTAGTTTTTGTCAATCGACACTCTAGAATTTAAATTAGGCATATAATTAATATTTTAATTAAGTATTGTATTGTAATTTAATCTTGATATTTATCAGTCACTAACAGGTCATAGTAACGATCGTCGAAAATTAAGCAAATCTGTAGGTAACCTAAGTACCTAAGTAACCTAAGTAATAACTTGAAATTTCGTCAAATCATCCTATTGAAGAACCAAGCTCTTGTCGGCGTAGCCTCCTACACACCTCGCGGTCAGCTTGACCTCTTCATAGCTGCTCACTTTAATGTAAAATAAGAGGCAATTGAGCAGACGAGCCATTTAATGGGAAGTAGTCATCGTTTTAAATGGACATCTGTAACATCATAGGCGCTGTCTACGTATTGCCAGCCTTTGAGAGTCCTGTCGACTCGCCTATTGATGAACCCCGACGCATAGCGTAAAGGAAATACTTCATGATGTAGACCGCTCTACATCTTGCATGTTCGAGGAAGGAACGAACGAGGATGGGCTCTACTCCTTTGATGGGAGGTGCGATGGTGGAAATGTTCTTCTTTATTTATGTACTATTCATAACTTGCTAGTAACATATACACTTGAAGTTCTTACATATAGCTTAATGTGCTGTTATGTGTAGGTAATGTCTTGGATAGAAAGTACTTATACTTTATAGGTTTGAACTGTGTCATTGTATACTGATAAATAAATACAAATCAGTGCTTCCAATGGCACTTTTTTTTTAATATAATATTTACTTACCCCAAACAATAGCTATTGTAATAGAAAAAATGATGTTAGTTTAATGAAAACGATGGAAAGAAACAATCGAAATGAATATATACTCAGAGCACGCCAAAAATTCTATTGTCTCTGCGTGATTCTTTGCGGGGTCGATTGTTAAATTATATTTGAGATATTTATTTTTCGTATTATAATTGAAATTAAAATATGTTGTGCTTCGGTTATTACTTATCAAACAAAGCAATATTTAAATAGTAGATTTTTTTAATTCTTCATTATCAGAGGAAATAAATTTTGGATCTTAATAATAATAATAATAATAAAAATAACGCACACACCCAACATAGTCCCGCACCAGAGAAACCCTGTATCGCGGCTGCCATGGACACACACAAAGACATATTACACCCAAACTCACGAGAGAAATAAATGTACGCCATACAAATATTTCTTCCGGCCCGGGACCTGGGACCTCTGAGTGGCAGTCCAGCATGGTACCCATTCGGCCACGGAGGCAGCATCTAAATCGCGTAAATCCGTTTTTTCAAACAAACCAACACAGCCGCAGTAAGCCGCAGAGAACATTAATATATCAAGCAAATCCTATGTAGATTCCACGCTAATGTCGAGCGAAGATTTGCCATTTTACTTTATGTGAGAAGTATTACAGACAAGCAGATTTTGATTGCCTCTCCCGATCGGAAACTGCGTCTTTTCCGAGTCGAGGCGCATAATTGCGATTCACAACTGGCCGATCGGAAGTTTTTGACGTTTCTAATTGTTGATTTAATTCAGAAATTAGAAAGATATAGTAGGAGTCAGGTTCATCTTCAGATTTCGAGACTTCAGGACTTCGAGATTCCGATTTGAATCAGGATCGGAAAGTCCTCAGGCGTGCGTTAATTAAGACCTATTAAGACCTACTGAAATGTAACATCCCCTTAAAAGACGCAGGAGTTTAGGTATAAGCTTGACTGCGATTGCGGTCTCTCGTAGGTATATGGACAATTGCGAAAACCTAAGAACTCGATATCATCACGCTATCTATATTACTATAGATAGTTACAGTAGAGCTCCTTGTAAAAGAGTTGATCCAGGGAAATGCCACCTTTTTCTGCCGCCAAGCGGTAATGTGAACATTACTGCGTCCCGGTTTTAAAGCGTAAGAGTGCTGGTGTAATTATAGGCACATGGGACTTTTCAACTTACGTCTCAGGGTGATGGGCGCAGAGGCAGTGTACCTCAGATCTTTGCGATTTACAGCTATGAGTGGTACTGCAACTGTTATGGACAGGCGTGTCGTTTACCATCAGGCGCACGACTTATTTGTCCCTTCACTTAGTATCTATCCGTTTAGGCCAAGATAATCTAAAGCGCGATGGGGAGTTCATACGTTTTCCAACGGTTGTGAACGTTCGTCAACTAGTTTAGGTTTCGTTACGAATATTTCCTTTGCTGTTAACGAGAGGTATAGACAAATGTACACAAATGAGAAATCAAAAGTAGGTACATGCCTCCATCCAGGGAGTCGAATCACTACCGTTCTCACACTAGGCTACCACCGTTCACAAATTTTATTATCTAAAATGAATTCTTGTTATTTTTGGATTATCTAAAAGATATTCAAAACACTATGTACATACATCAAGGATTTGTCGTTCGGATTTTCCTTTTTTTTTTTACTGGTTTTTATTACGTTGAGACTTATTCACAAGAAGGTAGGTACATTGATTTATAGTTCTAAATTTAATGCACAGCTAACAGGTAAAAATCTCATGCAAAAAATGTCAAAACATCTTTTTTATTATTGATACAAAGCTCGAAAAAAAAACACAAAAACAAAATTCCTTTGTCAGGCATAACTCGTACCAGCATTTCTCGACTCCTCGTGGCTACTGCTCTTACCAACTAAGCTACAAATCGAGCCAGCAGATCTTACAAATTTCTCTATGTGCTTGTTGCGAATTTTTGTATTGATTTTAAATGGCTTTTTAGCCGTTTAAAAGCTTTTTTAACTTAAATACATATTATTAAAAAACCAAATAACTTCTTTTTCACAAATAAAGGTACTCAATCTTCATATACGTCCAAATATTTACTACTTTTGTTATATACATTTTTATTTACTTATCATGTAAAAGTTCTATTTCACGTGGGCCATGTCTCTGCCACCTCGAGGTAGATTATAAAAATTGTAATATATACAGTAAGCCCGCGGGAGTATTCGATCAAGGAGACTATTGTTAGCTTCCTAAATATTATGACAATAAAGTTAAATGTTATATTTTGTATTATCAAAACATTTCAGTTATATAAATGTTGCTGAGAGACCACCGCATCTCATTCACATACGAACAGCCAGACGCGATGGCCGCGCGCCTAAATTAACAAGTGTACAGACATGGGACGTTGTCACTAATATTTTGTAAACATCCACATGTCCTGTTCGTGCTGTATAGTTATGTTTTGATAGACTAATGGACCGATTAACGGTAAGTTAATTATTGTTATCATATTTAAAATTTAACTGTTTAACGATCTATGAAACAGGGTTTTATTTTTATTTTAATGAGTTGTCTTCCTTTTACCAATAACATTATATACATAGACGCTAGTGTCAACTTTTTGGCGTTACGCTACTATTGAAACTGCTTAAATCCTTCTTATGTTTTTCGTGCCATTCATAGTGCGTATTTCCAGAGCTATTTTATATATTATAATAAATTTTGTTTCAACGTTTAACCTTCTTCAAAAAAGGATATTTTTTTATGAATTTTACGCAATTATTTTAATTAATTAATTACATTTGTGAATAAATTTCGATGAGGGTTTTTTTTATGGAAAAAAACCCTCCCTTTGACTCATTCAAATTTGAAGAAAATATTTCACTTGTAAGAGTGGCAAATTAGAGGATGACCCCTTTTTAATGAATTTCACCCACTTTCCGTTAACCGATTTGAATAAAACTAGACACATAGATGTGACAAGTAATGATAATATACAAAGCGAAAACGGATAAGCAACCTTTTTGAGGTCATTTCTTTTAATACAAAAGTTGTAATTACTTGTAGCTGTTAAAATTGTATTTTTGCTGATATTGTTGTTACAAACAACAATATCAGGAAAATAAAATAATTGAAGTATCGACAACTCAAATAGCATGCTTGCTCCCAGCAGTTAAAATTTAAAATTCCTTACAGTTATGTTAATTGCTGCGTGTATTCACTTAATGTTATTAAAGAGTTTTTATACACTGAGGTTAAAAAAAGCAAATTATGGCTAGAGGGTTTTACCCTCTCATTAGATCCTTAACAGAACGTATACAACAAATTAGTATTTTTTACGATACCAAATAACGTGACGAACAAGTCGTGCACATGACGGTAAGCGACGCGCCAATCCATAACAGTTGCAGTATCATTCAGAGTTTTAAATCACTAAGATCTGAGGGTCACTGTCACTGCCCCCCATATAAATAATATAGTAGTATAGTAGTAGTAGTAGTTATGAGATCATTTTAAATGTCATAATTTCAAAGCCTAAAAAGTCGTTAAAAACCAGATACAAACTTTCGACAATCAAGCACATAGAAGAATTCGTGAGGTCCGCTGGTTCGTTACGTTGCTTAGTTGGCATAGCGTCTGACACGGTTTGCTAAAAGACGTCGGTTCGAATCCTGCCGGATCAAAGGAATTTTTTCGATATTTGTATTAATAATTTTAAATAGATCATTTAAAATTTAGTAGAATAAACTACTTTCAAATGCTTTCTTTAGGCGCTCTGTATCCACAGACATCCGTCTGTAACAAAAACTCAAATAATATATATATTTTTGGGCTATCCTTATATATTTTTAAGAGGAAAGTAAGAGAAGTATTTTTTAAATTTTACTTCCGTATAACAACACACTGTATGTAGTGTTCGGAATATTTTTATTTAGTTGTTGGTACCGTATTTGCTAAATTCTTGTTTATGTTTGTGAAGTTACAGGTCTAATTGTTCTAATCGATGTTTTTGTATCATCTACCAGTTTTGCAACTAGTTGTTTCCTTTGTAAAAATCACCCCTATGTCGGGGGCTCCGGGGTTTGTTTCTCACTAAATGCACTGGCTTTTTTCGAATCTTGAGATGTTTAGTTTAAACTTGCTTTAACGGTGAAGAAAAGCTTCCAGATGGAACACACTCATTGGGAAGAATCATATAACTTCGAAGACGTGTGAAGTCCTGGATGGTGGGCTATGGCGTAAAACTTTCTAGTTAAAAAGCCAGACCAGCCAGCTCACAACGACTCCATCCCAACTCCTCTCGATCCTAATTGGATATGCTAACGGAATACCTAGCAAAACAATCTCAACTGGACATAGTTTCAAGAATGCTAAGAATAAAGCACCAGTAAGAGCTCCTTGTGAAAGAGTTCGTCTAGGGATGTACCTATTTCTGCCGCCAAGTCATAATGTGCTTGCGAAATAACAGGCATATGGAACTTTCCAATTTGTCTCAGGACGAAATGGTCAAGTGTAAGTGCCTTCAGTTCTTTGCGATTTTAAGCTCTGAGCAGCACTGCAACTGTTATGGACATGCGTGAAAAAAAAAGAGACTACGTGAACCGTACTGCAAAAGTAATACGTACAATCACTGCAGAATTCCTCAAACAGACGAATATTTAATCTATCCATTATATGTAGGTTCATAATTATATGTATATAAAAATATGTTTTCGTGACATATTGAAGCGTGGTCATTATAGTATTATTTAAATTATCGTAGATGTTTTTCTTTATAACAGTACTCTTTACCCATCAATGTTCAGTAAGGACTTTTTGTGGATATTTGTCTCCAGTTGGGAAATGTAGTAGGCATTAAGACTTTGTAAGCGGACCTTCATGGTCCTTATCTGACGCGAGGGTTTTAGGACATAGTCCACCACACCAGGACTCGTCTTGGCACATTTATGCGATTTTTCTCCGACTTGCGTAATAGCATAGATTTAGTATCAGTAGAGCTGCTTGTGACAATGGAACCTTCATTTTAGGTCTATTTAAAAAGTTACTTAAATCTGCCATCCAAGTGACAAAATAATGTTTAGAGATCTCATAAAAAAACCATAGCCCAGTTTCAGAATATTAAAATTGTTTGATGATATTTCAGTTATGCATCGTTAGTCCAATAAGTCGAACACGTTAACTAATTTTAAGTGTTTTTAAAAAGAATTTTGTGCTCTATTTTTTGCTATTTAAAATGGTTATTTGACAATTTGTTACTTTTGCCGCGTTTTAGTTAGTGGACGGCAGAAATATGTACCTTTAAGAGTTTCCACACGCAAACAACGTAATTATACGAATATAGATATATCTACACATTAAATTGTTCTTTACACACTAAGCTGAAATTAAAAAGTTAAAATTTTGGTATTTCTGTAGTAAGTGTTCTATTTAGTGATTACGATACCTTAGTAATATTAAGAATCATTAGCAGAAGAGTTCGTTCATTGCCGTTGTACCTATTTCTGCAACCAAGCAGTAATTAAGCATTACCTGCGTTCTGGTATTGAATGGGAAGGGTACTGGTGAAACTAAAGACACATGGTTCTTGTCAACTTTATATCGAAGTCTTAGATTTTTCGTATTTGTAACACATTGCATATAAAACTATTTATATGTATATATATATTATCCTTACTTTCCGTTCAGGCGTACTAAACACTTTTCGTCGTATTTTATTATGCGCACAGCCCAGGAATAGAATTCCTTGCCTGCAACTGTGTTTTCGAGTACATACATCTCCCCGAGTATCTTTAAGGTAGGCATCTTTTGGGCGAGATCGTTACATCGTAAATCCTATTTTTGCTTCAGGGCTAGGTAGTGGTCAAGAGATTGTACTTTACTTTAAAAAAACATAGTATCACTACCATCCAGTGAGGCAATGCTGCCAGTATACAGGTAGCCGTGTCCTTGAGGTCTAAATCGTTGGAATTGTCAGCTTTATATCTCAGGACGACAGGCATAGCGACAGTGCCCCTCAGATCTTTTGAAACTCTGAATGGCATCTGTAGGGCTAGCACTTTAAGGCGCGATTTGAGCGAAAGCGACTTAAAGCGCGAGATTCTTGCATAGAAATCAAGCGCTATAAGTCGCTCTCGCGCAAGTCGCGCCCTACTGTGCTAACCCTACTGTTGTATTGGCATGTCGCTAAACACTACGCGCACGACTTATTTGTCCAGTCACATGATATCATAAAAAAGCGGGTTCTACATCATAATTCATCACGTTTTCCTTAAGGCAAGATGGGGTCATTGATGTGTTGCGCAGTGTATGCGGGTTTATAATTTATGTATACATACGCAAATTTATTATTTTTTCTTTTTTTTGACCAGATGAGCAAATTCAATTGCAGTTCCACTTAGAGCTTTAAATCGCAAAGCTCTGAGGGGTACAGCTACTGCGCCCGTCACCGTTACAGACGTAAGTTGATAAGTCCCATGTGCCCGTAATTTCACTAGCACTCTCACCCTTCACAATCGAAACGCAATGCTCATATTACCACTTGACAGCAGAAATATGTAAGGTGGAAGTACTTCCCTGGACGAACTGTGTTACAAGGAGCTCTATTGATATTAAAAATTTATGTATAAAAACGAATCACTCTTTATAGCAATCGTTTCTACTCCTATGCCCATTATATTATACTCCTATACACATTGATATCACAGTGCGGAACTAACTGGAATTTCCAATCGCTTGTTATAACATTTCAATACATTTTCTTGACAAATAGCTTCAGTGTTTTTCCTTTAATAGAATGGAAGCACGTGTCATACTTATTTTTTTTATTATTATAACTTTTTTATAAAAAAAAGATCTCAAAAGTTTGCCGTTTAAATCCAATAAAACCGGATTCATGGTGATGAATCCGGTTTCATCCACCTAGGACGTGGAATATTTTCTTCAAATTTGATTGGAACCACTAATGAGGTATTCCCTTTCCAATAAAACGGAATGTCGGAGTAATTGCGTAATATATAGGTACACAAAAAAATACAGTCGAAATGAGAATCTCGTACTTTTTTTGAAATCGATAAAAAAGTAAACAATACTTAAAACAAGATAAAAATCATATTGTTTTGTTCATTATTATTATTCATTGCATAAATAAATAAATACACTTAATTCGCATTATTATGAGCTAGGATTCTGAAATTAATACAATGTTTATTATAATCAAAAAATAAATTTTACCAATGGCAAATAATAAAGTTGTAAAAAACCGGTTATCATGTTTTGTAAGACCCTAAATTTATATTAGGTAAAGATATACTATACAAATACATTAACTAACAGGCAAAGGAAGTACAAATAGTGTCTATATTGATTTAGAATTATAACGACGTTTCTGTTTGTAATTACAATAACAAAACCGTTTTTTTCTATATGTTACCTAATTACCCATTTACTTAAAAATTAAACTCGTATAATAAGTAACAAAAAAGGTATTTTTCATTATTTGGTTAAAATCACCATGTACACGTTTAACCGAATTTATTATACTTAATATTATATTATTCAGAAAAGGACTTTATGTTGCACTGAATATTGTTATGATAAAACATAATATTCGTTTCGAAAATAAAATCATATTTTTTCGGCTCTTAATCGTGTACCTTTTTTTTAGAATAAACCAACGTCTCGAGCCCTTTACAGGTCCCATGAATCAGCCGTGACCATTTGAAAAAACAAATTACGATTTAGTTAACAATAAAATGTTTCATTTCCAATGTAACAATCGCGAAAGCCTAAGAACGATATTCGCAGTAAAAAGTATCATAATCATAATCATATCATTTCGATACCTCCAATGAACACCACGCCAACTTATTTTTTGGACCTGCTCTGTTTTTTTTTTACAAAATTAATCATATTGCTTTTTTTTCGAATTTAGTTTTTTGTTTCTTTATTTTGCATTACGAAATTCGTGGAGCAGAATATTAGTCAATAAATATGGCTGTTTACAAAAATAAAATAAGACGACCAAAAAATAAAGTTGGCTTAGTGTTCATTGGACGTATCGATTTGTTGCTTTTGTGGTACAAAAGGTCTTAGCTATTATTACATTCCAACATAAACCCCGTAAGGGCTCTGCAATTAACTTACTTCACTATACTAATATTAATACATAGATTCATGTCAACTTAACTTACTATACAATACACATAATATCTTGTACTTTTACTATCGAAATACTCCTTTAAGTTATAGAAACAGTTCGAAAGTATTCCTTCTAAATAACATTCTTTTTCCTTGTAAGATTGTGAAGCACTGGTATCATTTCTCGTATTTGCTGTAAATGTGTAGACAAATCTTTAGGCTTTTTAGAAGATCACTGCCACAGATCTGAGGGGCATTGCCACTACGACTGTCACTCTGAGACATAAGTTGAAAACTCCAATGTGCCTCTAATTTCACAAGCACATTACTACTTGGCGGCAGAAATAGGTGAGGTGGCAGTACTGGACCAACTCTTTCACGAGGAGCTCTACTGCTGCTTTACTCTTTGCGTTTTGTTAAGTATTCCTTTTGCGTATTCAATTAGGATCGAGAAGAGTTGGGATGGACTCGTTGTGAGCTGGCTGGTCTGCTTTTTTAACTAGAGGATTTTACGCCATAGCCCATAGAGGACTCATCCAGGACTTCACACGTCTTCGAAGTTATATGATTCTTCCCAATGTGTATGTTCCATCAGAAAGTTTTACTTCACAGCTAAAGCAAGCATAAACTAAACATCTCATAATTCGAAAAAAGCCAGTGCATGCCCTTCAGTGAGAAAGAAAAACCCGTTTTAGTGAATGTCTATGTAGCAATTTAATATTTTATGTTTACCATAATAATCGATGCGAATTGCAATCTTAAAGTTAGAACGATAGATATGTTATCTATCTTTTTGAACATGTCACGCTATGTCACCGGCATTTATAAAAACTAGTAGCTATAGGGCGCGTTCCCATTTAAGTTTAGGTCATTTTTTTTACTGATATTTTTTGTTCATTTCACAACAAGAATTAAGTCTCTTTAATTTTCGCCAGGTTAGCAAGATGTTATGACTTTATCATAATTAAGTCGTTTTAATTATAAAAAAAGTCCTCTAAGATATTTGATGATGAACTGCCAATCCGTCATTTTTCCACCAACCGTGGTGGCGTGTTGTCGTTTAATTCAACACTAAATGCGGCGTTTATATACCGACGCGGGAGTGGAATTTCAAACATAATTAAAAAGACCTATATAGAGAATCTGTGCTATTCGAGTCTGAATGAGTCAGTTCCAAATCAACAACCTAATGAACAATGATTTTTAAAGTCGTTTTACGATATATTAAACTTAATTTTATAATTAGGTCACAGTCATTCTAAAGATGCGACCTAATTCATCAGGAATTTGGTATAAAAAAATTGTGGCGTATCTGGCAAATAAAGGCGCCAAATCGTATTGTCGCTCGATTATAGTAACCAATGAAAAGCTCGGTATCTTACTCACACTATAATTTAGCACGTTATAATACAGCTGTGTGACTGATAAATAGATATGGGAAAAACTGCTTACTTTTTTAAACGCTAAAACGTTGTACTTTAAAAAAAAGTTTTTTTAAACGCTTTTTAGTTTACAAAAGCTTGAAGCTTACAAAATTATTTAGAAAAAAATTTAAGCGCGTAGACTTTATGTTAAAAGCTTGCAAAGTTGTGTTGATAGCGATAAACAAGAGTAGACCACTAAAGGTTTTAAGATAAGTAAGTTTATTTGTAAAACACGAGTTTTATTGTTATCTAAAAAAATATTATTCACATTGATGAATTTATTTCTTTAGGAAACATAGATGGCAGGACTTAAAATATAAGCACGTTGTTAACGCTTACGCTTAAACTGAAAAGCGTGCTTATGTGCTTATTATAAAAAGCAAACTTTTTAAAGTACTTTTCGTTTAAACGCCCACCTCTACTGATACATCAAATGAACTATTCCGAATCGGCCATTGTCCTTGAGAAGCACCGATTTGTCACTTATGTACCATATGTGATTTCACAAAAATTCACACTCTCATAGCCCCGCTCTAGGGAAACCCTGTGTCGTGGGTGCCATGGACACACACATAGACAACCACAAATTACACTCAAACACACGAGAGTAATAAATGTAGGCCATACAAATATTTCTCCCGGCATGGTAACCGTTCGGCCACAGAGGCAGTTAATTGAATGATATCATTATCTGTATTAAGTAATTGAGTATGTACTAGATAGGAGCATTTTTGATATCTCCTTCTATTGTACACATTCTTGATTTAATCGTTCGGCCATTTTAATTTTAAAGTGCAATAAAGAGTATTTTACATTTCTCTTTTCGCCTTCTCTACTGTATTGACGCAATTTACTTAAATACTGCGTTCTGGTTCTGTACCTACTTATATAAAAATTTATACGTTACGATGACTGTCAAGGTGTTTGTTAGTGATAAGTATATTCATAAGTATATTTTGGTTTACGACAACATATGTAAAGCACTGATAATACAAATAGAAAAACTTTTTAAATATATTTTTCGACAAAAAACAAAAAAGAAACGGAAAGAATAGGGCTAGCACGATAAGGCGATATTATAATTAAAGCACGATAATACAATTTAAAGTTCTGAATACTACTGCCATGGACAGGCGTGTCGCACGGACAAGTGTCCATCCAGTCGCCACTTGGTGTCAAAAAAATTGTTCTATTATATTTTAATAACATTATTCGTTCTTACATTGACGAAATTAAGTACCTAATCATCTCGCAACCTTAAAGAAATACGCCTATTCCCTATTCGTAATACAAAACATCACTGTTCTAAATACCTAGTTTATTAATCACAACCACATTGCAGAAAGGGAGCTTGATTGCATGTTCAAAATCTAAATTAGGTCACTGAATCAACTTCTTTGTCTCTTTCCAGATAGTTCTCGTGCTGTGCGTTATAATTTTAGCGTCTGACGTCACAGGCCACGTTTTACCACGGCGGACAAACGCTACGAAAGAAACAGAAAATGCGGAAGATCATACCACCAAAGTCCAATCATTTAAGAGACAAGTATCGGAAGACTACAGGAAATACAGCTATTTGATAACAACGTACTTATAACAAACATGATATTATATGTACAAAGAGTAACATGTGTTTGATCTTCAAATTGTATACATTCAATTTGTTTACATGGTGCAATATTGTGGAGACACTGTAAAATTCAATATATAAATGTATTGATCGACTCGAGTCGTGTCTTGATGCATGAATGTGATGTCATTGACAATATTGAATCTTGTATATAATAAATATTAGAGTCAATTTCATCTAATTCAACGGATGACTTTTAAGACAAAAGCTAAATTAAAGTTGTAGTAAATTTTTGTAGGAATAAATTTATTTTTATACAATGTTGTATTATTTGTAAAATGGAACTCTCAGCATATTATAATGGTCAAATCCCTACTCTAATTGGGAAAGAGCTGATGATCTATAAATAGCTGAGCAGATATTGCTTACCGTCCGGATTATTTAATAAAAATTAAATTAAATTATTTAACCTTCAAATAAAAATAAGAACCGTTTTTAGGTGGGTGTGTAATGTGTCATATAAATGTTATTATAACGTTCAATTGGCATAATTTTACTTCCTATAGACTCATTTATAATGTAGTACTTCATTTCATATAACCAACGTTTATTATAAACTTACCTTCTATAATTTTATTTTTTATAATGATCACTTACACTAACAATCATTTTTAATAACGATCGTAAGTTATAAACCTCAGTTAACATAACGTCATTTTCTCTAAATTTCATTTCATCTAGAAATAGGCTTATTTGGGAAAAAGATATCTCTATAATTAATATCAGGTTTATTAATTCATTTGGACTGAAAACATGTTCAGAAACGCAAACATATTCGTTTTTGGTACTCGAAATCTCTCATAGATTTCTCATAGATGGCGCTACGACTAAAAAGTCGTTGAAAAACCAAATACAAAGACACGACGCAAGCACATAGAAAAATTCGTGGGGTCCGTTGGTTCGTTCCGTGGCTTAGTTGGTACAGCATCTGACACGGTATGCAAGAAGACGTCGGTTCGAATCCGACCGGATCGAAGGAATATTTTCTGAGTGTTCGATCTTTGTATTAATAATTATAACAAACTAGTGTAATTTCACAAAAAAAAAAGAATTTAATATCAATTCAATAAAAATTTAATTAATAAAACGTTAATGTTATATCAAACAAGAATTATATGAAGTTTATAAGAAGTGAAATTGGTCCAAATAAAAATTATATTAAATAAACGGTATTTGTTTAATTTATTTAATTTTCGTATAAGTGAGGTGCACCCTTTTTAGATACACAAACAGAACCCCAAATAATGAAGGCTTCAAACTTCTGCCCTCTTTTTGCGTTGGAGGAGGTTAAACAGTTAGTTATTTAATACTTTGAAGTTGTGTGTTTAAAAAATTCATAATTTACAGGTGGGATGTTTATTTTAATTTTATCGTTGAATATAAAGAACTGTTATGTACCGATTTCTTTTGCGTTTACATATTTAAAATACCTTTAAAGTAATCGAAGTAGGTATCCAAAAAGAATTGCCTGTTTTATATTAGAACGATTCCAGAGCTCTTGATAGAGTCCAAAAATTTGCGACAATATTAATTATGCTTGGCACCATAGATAGACAAAATAGTAAGTACTGTAAATATCGCACTGACTTTTACACTTGAAACCATAGCCATTTAGCATAGAGTTCAATTTAATATTACGCTTGAAAGAAGATGTGCCGTTGTCCGTACATATATAATTTTTTTTTAAATACAAAAAAATGTTCGTAATGTTATATAAATGTTATATAACACGTATCTTAAAAAGAGAAAATTCAGGAGATGGCAAAACTTTACATTTATTTTAAATTCCTTATCAAGGGTGTTAATTTGGATGCGTTACTTTAAGAATAGGTAAAATCCAGTGTGTGAATATGAAGGAAATATGATGTCAAATCAGCCTGCAAAATTTGTATATACAATGCATTTCAGATACTTTTTGCTTTAAGATACGAGTTTGAGAAAGTAAGGCTCCACATGAGCAGCAATTGAAAAACATGTAAATTCATAAGAAGCTATCTCATATTCAAACAAGATAACTGATGATTGTGCAGAAACAATGGGAGAAGAAATTATAGATTACGATCCTGCAAGTCCAGATACAATAACATTAGAAGATAACAAAGGATTCCGATACTTTATCAAAACAATGACTAAAGTTATAAGAACGTGTTATTTCTACGATCGATATGAAAGAGCAAACTTTAGGTAATTTACCACAGCTTACTGAACTTTATGTCAGAGGTATTGAGGGCTATATTCAGAAATCATTTCGCCATTTTTTTTTTGGAGATAGTATCTATAATTAGTATCTATAGCGTATCAATCCCGCCTAGTGCGCCCGAAGCATAAACTTCCTACCCGATATCGCGACGAGCACCCATCCTCGAGTGAGCATTTCCGAATGCAATTGGCGCTTCTCGCCATCGACCCTGTTTTGCCAAAATATAACTTTTTCATGGCCAAATATGGTAATAACGAAACGACTTGCGGTAACTTTCGTCTTATGCGTGATTACCGACCCGCACCCCACACGCTCTAGTTAGTATTCGAGAGTCCGCGTTTAACACCGGTTCCAGTTAGAAGTAGTTTTCATGCGCGTCTTTTCTGCTGTAATGTTGTATTAGATCCTGTGTTAAGTATTTAGCTCTGTGCCCCGTTTTTATACATAATAAATACCTACACATAGTGCTTTACAGACTGACTTCTTTATTTAGCTTGGTCGTATATCTGTATTTTGTTACAAACTTATTTTCTCAAAGCTCTGAGTTAATTATTAACTTGCCTACTTCGCTGGCTTAGCGACCCGAAGTGGATTTTCGCCTCTGACATCAAACTACGCCGTTGCTGGACTGTTTTAGGTGCAAATTGCCAGCTGTATGGTCATAAAGAAACGATTGATTCCTATTCCTCTGCAATAAAAACCAAGCGCGTAATGTCGTCACCTTTTTAAACTCTTATCTGTCAACGTATTTCTATTTTTAGTTTTAGTTTCACATGATTTCAGCAGTTTCACTTTTTGTTACAAAGTTACTTAATGTTTAATATATATTCTTTTTGTAAATTCCTTTTACTCTGCTATAATTTACTGTGCATGTAGTGTCAGTCTCTAATAGATTGTGCACTTAAGTTTAAGATTTGCATGACTGACATGAGTGAGCAAATAAATAAAAATTTAGTTTCAGTCTTCTATAAATTCCGACCATTCGAGCACATTCAACTCCTGTTCAAGGTCTTTTGGACTTCATCCTTCCAGAGATGTCTCGGAAGGTCCGTAGGGTGCACTGATCCAGAGTTCGATCACACTTTAAAAAATATGATATAGAGTAACGGGTCTGGTGGTCTCCATAGCTCGACGTCTATATATTTTTTTATTTTTTATTTATGACACAATGTACAGACATCAGATACAGAAAGTGAGGAAAATAAAAACACTTAAAAATTAATACAACAGGCATATCTGTGCTCAATTATTACTGGGTTTTTTTGTTTTTAATTACGTCTGGGTGCTTATTATGAGATCCACGGAACAAAAAAACAACATAAGGGCCTTAAACCTCGATTACTATCGGAACCGCGGCTGTGTCGCCAAACTCACACAATCATATGCAATAAATGTTAAACACTGTGAAATCTTGCAATGATTGGTCGCAGTTTCTAATTGAAAAACATAACAATTTCTGGACTGAGCTGGCGCAAAGAATAAAAGTAATAAGTACCAGAATCTCGGCTCCGACTACCTATTTACAGCCTTTGGAGTCGAAACCCTTGGCTCGTAGCGTCCCAGTGCCCTTCATCTGTTCTAAAAATTATACAAAAAATTAATAGACTGTCTGGGAAACCCAAGGTCTAGCAGCTACCTTGCTTAATGCATTAGCATAGCAATACGAAGGGGGAACACTGCCAGCATCTTGTGCACCTTGTCCAACTTAATTCATATAATTTAAAAATCATAGTTTTACTTTCTAGTATTTAAGTTTTCGTTGTCTTTTTTACCTTACCTGTATATTATCAAAATAAAAAATAATGAATTATAAAAAATAAGTAACTTTTGAATTATGAAATGTTGGCACAAGTACTGATACAAGGTGCCTTAAAGTGAGGTTTTAAAGGTGGATGTTTCTTGTACTAATTGTATGTACGTATATCGAGTACGTAAGTACTGGAAAAGTATAGGTAACTCAAAAGCGACTGACATATATGTGCGAGTTCTTTGTGATTGAAGTTGGTACTTTAACGTGTCGCAACAAATTAGCGTAGATCCTTTAACTTGGCAATGTTTACTACCTACTCAAGTTTTTATCATACCTAAAAAAACTGAAGTATAGATAATAGATAGATAGCAATTATAAGAAACAATATATTTTTGTTTAACTTTTTGCTTCTTATACAGGGTCATTGGCACGAGTGAAGAACGGTGCAAAATCCAAAGTACCAAAATTGATATGCCTTGACTGTGCATTTGTTTTATTTTTTATTTTTAAATTTATTAAGACTTTCGCAAAGCCATCGGCCTAAACATGAAGTTTATGTTTCTGTAAATATGGCCGCCACAAACAGGATAGGCAATTTGAGGCGGCGTGCTTGGATTGACTCGGGATTCCTTAAAACGGGCCGCTACGGGTATTCTAGTTCGAGATTCGTATAATTTCGCGTTTTAATCTGCGATTAAGGCACAATAGCAATATCCTATTCCACTTTAAACTAGATTTCACAAAATAATTGAAAGTCAAAATAAAAACGAAACTTTTCCCTCCAAAAGGTCCAGAGCGAATCGCATTTGTTTTATTATTATTATTTTTTTTTTGGTACTGTTTTTTCAATTGGAAAAGGCAAAGGCACTAATGCGCCATACAGCCAAGACTGAGAGTAATCTCTTTCTTTATAAATTTATTCTTAATTTGCTTTCATGGCCAGTAAGTAATTAAGAGAGTTAATTTGCCTAAAATATGAACGTTTCCTTGGTATGAGCATACCCATTTCGTCATCAATGCGTATAAAATTTATTTTTTACTGTGTATTTTCTAAAGATATAATCTCAGTACAGAGTACTAAAAACTGACCTCAAAAGTCATTCATCCTTTAGTTTGAAACACTTTGAGGTGGAATTTCTTCTTCAAATTTAAATGGGACTACTTCTAAGCTACCCTCTTTCCAACAAAAAAGAATCATCGATGTCGATTTACAAATGCCGAAGTTATCGCGTTACATACATACAAAAAAAAACATAGTTTGAAGTCGGCTAAAAATATAGGTATTTAAATACGTAAGTGTCTAAAATCAAACGCAACTACAATATTATTAATTGAGACAATAATTTGTAGCAAATACTTAATAGGAAATAATAATTTGTCGAAAGTGTACTCAAATTTCAATAAATAATACGCAAATAAATAGAATCAATTCCGAGAGTTCCCGGGGTTTGTAGACGAGAATGTCCACATTATTCTTTAGTTCAGCTAAAGTAACTCACTCACAAACACACAAAATCTGGACGATATTCAGTGATCGATTTTCATAGTAAATCGTTTGACAAAACTACTCAAACGTAATTTTTACATACGTAAAGTCAATTATACTTACAAAAATGCACTGATTAGTTTACCTACTTTCAAGTACGTATTTCTGATACACAAATTATTTTATTACTTACAGATCTCTCACCAGTTAAAGCAATGGGCGTAAAAATCTAGTGTTACCGAATATTATTTTACACTACAAGAAGTTACGTGTTATGTGATTTTACACATAGATGTGTTAATATGTAAACCACGATGTCACAATGACAAGACATGGACGTTTTACTATTTATAATAAATTACATCTATATATCGTATGGAATGAGTGAGAAATTGTTTTATTTACAGGTATTTCCTACGACACCTCGCATGACGCTAGACGAAAATTAATAAATAATAATAAGGTTTTAAAAGTTGAAGGTTTAAAAAAGATTTAAAACTTGTGTAAAATCAGGAATTTGTTGTAATATAATATGAGTTAATAAAACTCACGGAAATTGCATCTATTTAGACTAGGGTTTCTTAACCTGTGGTCCATGGACGAGGGGTGTAATGAACGCGAGGGGTCCATGGCCAGCCTACCTAACATAATGTATTAATATTAAAATTGGTATACAATATGTTATGCCCGTCTCTGAAGTTGCAAAACCACTGAGGCAGACGAACCGGTGTGACGAGGACGGCTTCACAAAGGTGGGGACGAGGAAGAGGAAGCCCACCAGCCGCAATCTGTGTGGCACAGCACCGACAGGATCGAACTTTTTGCTGCGTCCGGCTATACAGACGACGCTGCTGTACCTGTTGCGACTACTTTACTTCACAAAGTCTGAGGAGATAGTGGAGTACATCTAGTTAAAAGCCAAATACACCTGGGTGTCGATCGGTTGGAGTCCTGCCACAATGTGAACTTTAATTCGTTTGTGTTGAGAGTGCCCACTGAACAGCTGTTGAACTTTATGATGCAAGAGTTTTGGTCAAAGGATATTATGCATCGGCGATTCCGCGGCCGGTTATCTGATACCATATTGCGCCATACGACGCCGACAAGTGCAATTCGTTCGATTTATTATAATTAGATATTTAGTTTATTATATTGTTATATTATTATTGTATGTATGTTAGTCCTTAAGGTATATTTTATATAAGGCATGTGGCTTGAATTAAATTAATTAATAAATAAAATTAAATAAATAGGTAATGTGCTGTGCGTGTGACCTTTTTGAACTTTGGCACTCTTTGACGGCCATGCATTATTGGAGCAAGCAAGACGCCCGTCAATGTAACTCGCGAGCCTTCCTTCTTTTTAATTTTTTTGGAAAAGTTCCGTGGGCTCTTTGAAATTGTAAGAGCGGTCCACGATTAGAAAAAGGTTGAGAAACCCTGATTTAGACCAATTGACATTACATACTATGACAGTTTTTATAATTTTCCTATCATCATAGTTCAATGTTTACGTCCTTGAATAGAGTTCGCACCCAGGTAGGTCGCAGCAGAGACCAGGAATACTAGTTTATCCCGATATTACTGCGGTGCCCCAACAAAGTCCATGCACCATTGAGGGGCACAACAGCACATTTGAATGCAGCAAATATGCTGTTGTGCTCCTCATGCCCTAAAACCTGTACGCGGGAAGATCTCTACGCGGTCACGGATAGCGCAGTAAAGATAAGAACGTTTCTGAAACTCAATATTATAGTCCTAAAAATAAAAGAAGCATCAACGCGATAAGAAGAAGAAGTGTTTAAGTGAACACCAAGTTTTTAGGACAAAAATAAATTGTTTACAATGTCATACGCATTCATTACAAAGACTATTGTCAACCGACTTCAAAAAAAAGAGGACGTACTCAATTTGACTGTATTTTTTTACAAATCAAGTGACGAAACGAATAAGTCGTGCACTTACTAGTAAGCTATACGCTTGTCCATAACAGTTGCAGTCCCACAAAGAACCTAATGCTGACATTATTGCTTGGCGGCAGAAATAGGTAAGTTGGCAGTACTTCCCTGCCAACTTCTTTCAATTGTGAACCGATTTCGATGATTCTTGGAAAGGGGGTACCTCAATAGTGGTTCCTTTCAAATTTGAAGGAAATGTTCCACCTCTAAAAGTGGTGTTCCACAAACTTTTTTTAAAGTTATGATAATTTATTATGTAATAATTATTTTTCAGGTTTAAAGTTTTCGCAGGGGATTATATAATTCTCTACAGCATTTATTTATTTTAAAATCTCCAAATTGTAATCGACTCAAATGAAATAAGTAAGAATATCGTAAAATATAGATGGCTATTTACTCAATAAAACAAAGGAAACACCTTCCCTCTTTTATTTTTGGAACACTCGTAGTTTTACATTTTACACTTTTTATTTTATGGTAATAACATTATCTTTTTTCATCGAAGATACAGTTATTTCTAAAAGAACACTTCCACTTACCATTTTCATAAAATTTTTCATTTTTTTGTAATTTACACACAAGTGTCATCGGCACGTTTTCTGGTGGACGGCATTGGTTCCTTGTATCTTTGCATTGACATCCAACAGGCTTTGGCCGTGGCACTATATGTGTCCATATATTCAGATCTCCCAGGGAACGGAGTGAAGTACGTGGTCAGAGTTAGTGGTGAAACTCCAGTATGGACTTTAGGTGGTGGATGAATGGTTGGACGGACGGTCGGTGGCTTGTCTGAGAAGTTGGTTGGATCCTTGTAACAACGTAGTGCACCCAAACGGTGAGGTTCCATGGGGATTGGCGCGTTAGACTGGACTGCTGCCATAATTTTACGGTAATCCGTTATCGGGAATGCTGAAAAACGGGATGAGTATTTTTATTGAATATCATGACGTTCACTCGTCTTGTTTTTATACTCCACTATCAATAACAATAATAATAGATATCCAAAATAAAAATAAAGCCATGGTAGCCTACTGGTTAGAAGTTCGCATATAAATTCCGAAAAACTCGGAGATGCGAGGCTGGCCTTGGGGGTCTACTCTCGATCTCCATACGAAACAATTACTGTCAAATAAGTAATATTCGACCAAATGAAAAAACAAGTATCAAGTATGAAGCTTCATTCGCATCACGATTCTTTTATTTGCCGGGCCAAGCAGGCATTTCCGACTTTTTCGGAATTTATATGCAAACTTCATTTGAAAACCACGAGTTTTTCGGTGAAGGAAAACATTGAGATGAAACCTGCACGTCGAAGAAGGTTCACAACACTCGGTAAACGTGTGAAGTTGGGTCAGAGTGGCGAATTATGGCCTAAATCCTCGCCTAAGAGGAGACCCAACTGTGAGACGTATAAATGGCTTGGTGATGATGATGATGATGATGACGATGAGATAATAATTTATATAAAAATCCTCTTTACTAAATTGCGTTTCTTCCGGGCGTGTAATGTATCGCATAAATATTATTAACCTAACGGTAATATAATATAATTTTATTTAACATAAACTTTTTGCAACAGTAAGACGTATAAAAGGGTTGATGATGATGCTGTTGATGATGGTGGTGATGATGATGATGGTGAATAATAACGAGATGGGTTTCAAAATTCTATGTATATTCCAGAATCAAAGGCAAAGCGTTTAAATTCATTTTGTGAAAAATGTAATGTTTACGATGACAGTCAATATGGATTTCGTAACAAAAGATCAACATTATATGCGCTATATACATATAACACAGAAACTTTAGACTAATTAATAACCGCAAATATGCTGTTGCATTGTTGTTAGATATGAGCAAAGCATATGATAGAGTATCCCATGAAATTCTTTAAAAAAAATTGCACGGTATTGGCGTACGCGAAATAGCCCACAAATGGTTTCTTTCATACTTGCAGAATCGAAAACAATTCGTAGATACACAACACTACGATTTTTGTAAAAAATATTGAACAGTTTACAGATCACAGAAAAAAGTAGTAATAAATTAAATACCACAGGGTAGTGTTTCGGGCTGTATCCTTTTTTTAATACATGTATAAATGATTTGCCAAAACTTTTAGATGACAAAACCATACTTTACGCAGATGACATTACTATAATAGTTCAAAGCAATCCATAGTGACGAATTAAAACAAAAATTAAATATTACATTAAAACAAATAACAAACTGGTTAACCGATCACAATTTAATATTAAACTTTACGAAAACTAAATTAATCCAAGTAAAACCATGTTAAAAACCACCAATGAAAATCGATTTGTCATATGAAAATAGTAAAATAACATGTGTAGATTCGTGTAATTTATTAGGATTAGAAATTGACTCAGAAGTTAATTGGAAATGCCGTGTAGATAAGGTGTCTGGAAAATTATCTAGGTTCACATATGCTCTATACGAATTTAAAAATGAACCTACAAATTTAAAAATCGCTTTGTCTGCATATTACGCCTATGCGCTAGCTTGGCTAACTTATGGTATCATTTTGTGGGGTAAAAGTGCTCATGCAGCTTCTTTATTCTGCAGAAGAAATGCATGAGAGTATTGGCAAACATAACGGAAACAGATACTTGTAGACTACATTTTTCTAGTTTGAACGTTTTGACTTTGACATCTATATACGTATTTGAAATTGGTAAGTTTGTAAGAAAATACAGGCACTTGTTTGAACAAGGAAGTGATAATCCTTATGTAGGTAATTTGAGACCGCGAAATAAATTGATTGGTTCTTTTACAAATTTAGAAATTGTTAGCTCGGGTACACACAATATGGTCATAAGAGTCTATAACAAAATACCTCTTAGAATAAGAAACATTGAAAATAATTACATGTTCGCAAATGCTCTGAAATGTTACTTGCTCTCGAACTGTTTCTATGACCTAAAAGAGTATTTAAATAGTAAAAGTACATGATATTATGTGTACAGTATAGTAAGTTAAGTTGGCATGAATTTATGTGTACCTATTAGTATTAATATTAGTATAGTGAAGTAAGTTAATTGCAGTGCCCTTACGGGGTTTATGTTGAAATGTGGCTGAAATGGCTTTAAGACCTTTTGTACCACATAAAGCAATAAATGATATGATTATGATTATGATTATGATCATAATTACTTCTAACCAAAGCAGAATATTTGAAAAAACGTATTGTGTAGTATTTATTTTATTAAATATCATGTTTTACCATCATGATATTCATATTTTTTTACATTGACATTTTAACACGTCCAAACGTAACCAAATACGTCTCTGGGGGTCTACGCATGATGCGAATGAAGCTTTATAGTTGACATTGTCTTTTAATTTGGTCAAGTATTACTTATTTCATTGTAATTGTTTCGGACGGATGTTGGACGGAGAACGAGAGTACAGGGCCAGATACAAAAACATGACACGACTATGATAGTGGTAGCATTTTATTGTTCCAGTTAATTATATAAGATAATCATAATTATCAAGGTATATTTATCAAGATAATTATCGTGATAATTATCACTCCGAACCTTTGTTTTAAATTCTTTAATTCAGATACCTACAATAAAAAAGTAAGTACACCAAGCATTTAATACGTAAGTAATGAAAACTCACATCTTTTTTTATACGTGGATTGGTACATAGTCGACATTTTGGAGTCAAGATCATCGCAGGGATGGTCCAGGATATCATTGGTAACGTCCACCATCTGAAATCAGAGGTAGAGACAAGTTAAATAGATAACTGTTAGAAATAAAACATACATTTTGGAGTATGTCAACGTCCCGAACTTTAATGAGCCCTGTTTGATCGTCGTCATCATCGTCGCGTCAGTCGTGAAATGCCTTTGAGGCACTACCAATTTAAACTGATTTTGATAATTTTTTCTCCGACTAAGAATACTGTGACTACACGTATTTACTTACTGAAGTAGGTAACTGTGCTTATTCTTTATCGATAGAGTAAGAAACTGAATAATGTGTAAGAACATCATATTTACCTAAACTCTATGTTGTCATATTTAGGTTTCAACAGCTTATGTATGACCTAAAATTAAATCATAAAAAATGTCGTTCGAAGTTAACGATTTCGATAAATAAATCGATTACTCCACAGTTGTTTGTAATTGCCTTTGGGCTAGTAATCAATGTTTTACGACTGCAATGTACATGCTCGTTAATTCTCACCGTGCTTCAGTTCTTATGTCTAGACGGCAACTCATTTGTAATTTGGTAAAAAAAACGTTAACTTGTCTATGGTAAGAGGTTATCTATAATTGCCTATGTCTTACAGACAGCGTTGCCAGTAACGAGTACCAAGCTAACGACAGATTTAAACTTGTGCTGGTGGTGGTAGGTCCTTATTTGTCTAGGTGGTATATTACGATCCTATCGGTTTTGGACCACAAACATAGAATTGCTCTAAGATGAAATTGGAGACCAAAAATGTAAACAATCTTCTGTCACTGTCAAACTGACATTGTGTAGATAATAATGAAACATTTTTTAAGTTCGTTTTGTGTTTTCTTGCAATATTATACTAAGTCATTGTTGAAGCCTTTATAATTACTAAACGAATATAATAATAATAAACACACACGCTCATAGCCCCGCACCCTGTATCGCGAGTGCCATGGACACAAACATAGACTACCACAAATTACACCCAAACACATGGAAGAAATATGTAAATGTAGGCCATACAAATATTCTTCCGGGCCCATAGTCTAATACGGGACCTCTGCGTTGCAGACCAGCATAGTAACCGTTCGGCCACAGAGGCTATTAAATGTTAAATGACACCTTTTTTAGATACTGGCGAAATCTAAAAAAGGCCAAGGCCACCGCCAATAAGCTAAAAGAAGTCGAAGAATAACAAATTATTTCTTTTTTGATATTAAGAGCAATAATAAAATTATGATTATAATTAAAAAACCTCATAACAAGGCATCAAAAACCATTCAAGTGAAAAAGGTAGTCAAAGATTGCGTCTCCCTAAAATCTTTATATATTAGGATAAAAAATATTTGTTCAAGAAACAATTATAAATTCTTACGGCAGTATCAGTTATGAGATTTATACTTATTTGTAATTACCCTGCAAATCTTGGGCGGCAACAATACGTTTTATGACATAAGAGAAAACAATAGCTAGTGTTCTAAGGTAGCAATGTGTATAAAATACACTAGAATGACCTGGATAAAGCTTTTGCTGTTACCTGATTCTCACAGATCAGGAACTACTAGGTCCGCGGTTAGATTGAGTAAGTAGGAAATACAGACCGAAGGTATTAAGTGTGGTGGGCCACAACTAGGCTACATAGGCCTGTAATGAAAGTATGTATTCATATTTTAACTAACTAAATTTAGCCTCAAATGTTTTGACTACACGTTTTTGGAGTGAAATCAGATTTGATCGGAAAGTTGTTTAACAATAACTGATTAAAGCATTCCCGAAAAATTTATACACCTGTAAAAATTGATACAACCCGTATAGGTTTTTGGTTTTATATGGCACTTCACATGGCTATATGTATATGCGTATTTGATAGATATCTTTGGCAAACAGTCAACGAGTGAAGATAGCATGTGTGGCAAAGCATTTGCCTATTTGACAAACACAGGAAACATCAAACACGCTTTACTGTACGCTGATCAGTTTCTTGACGCGCATCAAAGGGTTCGTCCACACTATGTGGCTCTAGTATGTAGACGTAGACGATCATTTTTGTCAGTAACAGCATATTTGTTATACGTCAAATATTTTTCCAAACATCCAATTTGAACAAGAACAGCCATGTGAAGTGCCGCCTTCAAAGTGAAGGCACTTAATGCACGCCGACTACATGCTGCTGGAGACACACCACCTACAGGTGACGTGACAGTTGGCAGTAGTGACGCATACAGACATGTCAAATATACCAAAGTGTTTTCCAAACGTATTCTGAATGCTACAACCTCGCCATTGCTTCTTCTATCTTAGGGATGCACATTACGATTCGATTTTTATGAAAATCGATTAAAGTCAAGACAATTTAGCGATTTTTTGCATCGATTCAATTCAACGTCATTTAAGTAAATCGATTCAATATTAAGGCGAATCGAATAGTCTAGATCCTATTCATAATTTAAACAAAACAGTCTCTTTCTAAACCATTATTTTATATTGACCTGCAAGAAAATTAGTTTGGCAACATCTAAGCAATAAATCCACAATATTTGGCGAATGTAGCTACTTCTGTGTCATCTAACCGTCTTTTATCACTGGCTAGTAGGTATTACTCTAAATGAAAGTCGTAAACCGACTGAAGCCAAAAAGGGTGTCAAAATTATTTTTTTCATCGAAATTAATTTTGAATACTATTTGAAAAAGGCATATGATACATTACGATCCAAAAAATCGATTCAAATAAAAAGAAATCGTGCATCCCTATTCTGTCTTCACGACAAGTTAAGAGATGGTTTATGATGTAGCCTTATGCCTTACGATGATACGAATATCATTTTATAAAGATACGTCAAATTATACACGGAACAGCCATTTTAAATCCTTATTTGGATAAATCTTTGTTATCAATCCGCTTAGCTTTGAGACGATGACAAACATGCTCCAGATATTGATACTTGAATTATAATATGGATCTCACCATACAGGCACTTCAATCGATTGGGAAATCAATGAAGATATCAAATGTTTGACCTCGATGTTACGACTATCGAGAGACAACAAGAGCGCAGTTCTCGCATCACGCAGCAGACGCCCTTAGGGATTCCGCATACAGTAGTAGGCAGTCACGTATTCGTGTTCTCTATTCTTTGTAGCTATCTCTGACGCAATGACGCAAGCCAACAGGAGCAAACGCGGCCGATACGTGTCAACGCGTGATCTTCTAGTATTTACGAAATTCTTATAATTTCACGCTACTAAGTGTTAGTAGAAATAGTACATCATTGCAGAGGCCGGGAAATAATGGAGGGAAGGGACGAGCGCCAGCGACGCCTTGTGTTCCCGCCGAGGCATGTAGGTATAGTATTTTTCTCAAACAATGTGAGGAAATAATAAAATACTTAAAGAGAGGAAGATGCGTAATAGAAAAAGTAAAAAAATATTAATGAATATTAAAAGTAATATTTGACGTGTTAAAAAGAAAATGTTATTGTTTTTCAGGCACATTAATAGTAGTCTACTGAACTTCTGATTATGTGTTTGAATGTGTACCTGTCTATTATTGTATTTTCGTTATCGCTTTTTCACTATCACTCATTTTCGCGACCAAAATACAGAAAAGACGAAAAAACCAAAGAAAAAAACACAAAACACTTTAGTTAGAATGTTACCGTCATTTTCTTTTTGTTTAAGTATGCGGCACAGGTAGGTATTTTTAATTCTCGCAACCATGAACATGAATTACTCTCCCGTTCCTCTATTGATGTATGAAATTTGAAAGTAGCATAAAAATACGGTTTTACAGGTCAAATTTTGTATTTCTATGTTCAATTACAACATTTTGATCACGGTAATGTACAAAACGGTAACAAAAAATCGGCTACCTTTCGATAGAGAATCGACATGCCGCCTAGTATAGAATTACTTTACCTAAATCTGCCTTAGATACATAACGCACAACACTTAAACTAACCAGTCAATATCAATACTACAATTCATGGCTCAAATGCAACTGGTTAGCCTTTGACAGGCCTAGCTTTATCATGTTTCATCCAAGTAAACGATTACTGGAAGTTACCTAATAAATAAAATAAAAAAAGATTTTTGTATCCAACGGTACTCTACGTATACTCTACTACTTCACATTCATGATTACACTAACCTGTTTCCGCAACTGCTCATAATCCTGACATAGTTTCTGCTCCTTTTCAAGCAATTGTTTGTACTGTTCCTCTCTTGGTGAGTAGGAATGCGAATCACAATGACAGTACGGCGTTACTGGCGGTGGACGTGGAGGTGGCTTGGGGTTGGGACTCGGAGGTTCACATGGCCTGACAAATAAATAGGTACTTAGGTAATATAAAACAACCAACACGCTTAGAGACCGCAAGATGATGGGCTATGGACAATAATGTTACCTAAACCTTTGGTTTAATGCAGTACAGTATCAGATAGTCACTGCCTTTATCCGAATTGCCTGCCTTAAAATGATTTAAAAAACCTTTTAAAAATGCATTCTGTAACGAGTTTCAAAATGGCCACTGTAAGGCTCAACTCACACTGGCACTGAGTCGAAAAGTCGTGACGCGTCGTGTTTTTCGCCTATATAATGTTCATCTCTACTTTACCATTACTAAGGTACAAATTTGTGTCATGCAAATAAGGAAACGCGCGTCGACGCTTGGTTGTCGAGCGGTTACTTGAGCGCAGTGAGGCGTCAGACGCCTATCACACCGTGATCCGGGCGCACTTATGCGAGCGTCGACGCGCGTCGCCGTGGGTTGTAGTTGAAAAACAGGACGCGACGCGACGCTTCGACTCTGCGCCAGTGTGCGTTGAGCCTTAAGATCTAAATATTTCCTGCGTAAAAATATACGTTGACGAATACCTATTCTGATTTTAGTTGTGCGATCTAAAAACTACTAATTATTTTATGACCTACGAGTATTAATACGTATCCCTTAATAACTGTTTATATACATATTAATTTTTATTTCTAGTTGTGTAGGTAAATCCTTTTATTTAAATATTTCATTAGATATTACGCATAGAGAACGAGCATAAGAGAGACCCTACAAAATATCTCGTTATGCTTAGTCGTTCATTAGTAATACCTACCTACATAATTTATACCCACAGGAGGAGGTCGAACCCATTAGCAAATGCAAACAAATTCGGTTCTGGCACTCGCCGGCCGCTGCTACGACATGCTCGCTGCGCTCGCTTCGCTCGTGCAGCTTTGCCATGTATTAACCCAAAACTAAACCCACAGGAGGAGGTCGAATCAACTCGCAAATGCAAACAAATTCGGTTCATTCACCATTGCTCCTAAACACCAGTGGAATTATATTTAAAATACATTATACTCAGTGAATTTTATATCTGAAGTGTTTATATAAAATGAACATTATGCTATCAGCATATTAGATTGAAAGTTGTTATATCAATCATCTATTACCTACACCCAGTGACCTTTCTAACTTGCAAGAATATGTGTCTGTATAACACTAATTAATTATATCTACTGAGCGTTATATCAACTAAAAATACGTCATTTGTTGTTATATATTACGAACCGCACCCTATTTTGTATTTTGGACTTGCTAAATATTACGGGCTTGTGACTTAAAGCTTTTGACTCTGAATTTAGTACTTTGTTAATAATCTCATCATCAATATCGTTGGTCAGAAGTTGATCTAAGAAAAGTAATGTCATACTAAATGCTCCATATAATTTGGCAGGCGCTTTTACCTCCCAACAACAGGTTTCGGAAAAGGCCACTGGAAATCATTTTTCTGAGTTGTACTGAAATCCATATTGAGGTAATGTAGATGTTGTCCACGTTGGGTACGAGGTGGTGATACAGCGTTCGATCTATGTGATGAGAATAAAACAAGGAGGTCGTTATAGGCTTCTATGAATGAAAGACTTAGGTGCCCTTCACGTATTTAGTTTTTGGATTAAGATACCATAAACTTTGGCAAGTAGGTACAGGCAACTTACTCTATATGATTACGTTGATATTTTTTAAATTAATAAGTACTAGACGTGCTAACTGACATCCTATATAATTTAGAACAGCTTTGGATGCTAAAAATTTTAATTGCAACAGAATTTCGTCGACGAGGGAAGATAAAATCATTTTTGACGTTTCCACTTTTTTACTTTTTATAATTAGGTGTCATACATTTGTCAAAATCTGAATCTCCAGCTTAGAGGATGGAAAAAAATCCATAGTTTAAGATCTCATCTCATTTCACAAAAATTTTAAAACTGTACAATCAGTATGACTGTTTACCTTTCTCTGTTAATTAAGAAACGGATTATAACTAGAGGTAGGCGTTTAATCGAAAAGCACCCACTGTAAAGGTCTGCTTTTTAAAATAAGTGCATAAGCACGTTTTTCATTTTAAGCGTAAGCGTTGGTCACTGGTTAGTAGCGCCATCTATGTTTCCTAAGGAAATCATAACATAAAGTTTATGCACCTAAACTTTTTTCTAAACGACTTTTAAGCGTCAAACTAAAAAGCGTATAAGTGAAAAGCGCTTTTACAAGCAAGCTTTTTAAACATTAGTTTCAACGTTAAAATAATAAGCTGTTTTTTTCCTTTCAACGGTCAACAACTACAAAAGTTAAACAACTTATGTTTTTAAACGCCAATAAACAATATGTTAATATAATAATGTTATGTCATTAGTAAAAATATAACTTGTTTTTTACAAAAAACTTCTCTCTTTCAAATTAAAAAGCGTATAAGAATGCACGCTTTTTAAAAAAAAGTATAACGTTTAAACGTATAAAAAAATAAACAGATTTTCCCATCTCTTATTTTTTTTTTATTTATTAAGGCTTTGGCAAAGCCATCTGCCTAAACATGAAGTTTAAATATGTTTCCGTAAATATGGCCACCACAAAGAGGATAGGCAATTTGAGGCGGCGTGCTTGGATTGACTCGGAATTCCTCAAAACGGGCCGATACGGGTATTTTAGTTCGACATTCGTATAATTTCGCATTTTAATCTTCGATTAAGGCACAATAGCACTATCCTATTCCACTTTAAACTAGATTTCACAAAATAATTGAAAGTCAAAATAAAAACGACACTTTTCCCTCCAAAAGGTCCAGAGCGAATCTCCCATCTCTTATTACAATGTAATAATAATAATAATATGGAAAGTTAAACGATGGTATTATAATTTAACCAACCATATTTAGAATACGTGTAAAATCATTGACGGCTCGGACTTCCTTGTCTTACTTATACGTTTTTGGTAAACGTTATTGTCCATTTCTTTTTTCTTCTAACTATACGAATTGAATGCTCTTTAACGGTATTGCTACTTATTGAATTCTCCTTTGAAATCGGAATACTTTTATTTGATTTACAGAACTATATAACTAAAATAGGGAGGATTCGCTCCGGACCTTTTAGAGGGAAAAGTTATTTTGTGAATTCTAGTTTAAAGTGGAACAGGATAGTGCTATTGTGCCTTAATCGAAGATTAAAACGCGAAATTATATGAATCTCGAACTAAAATACCCGTATCGGCCCGTTTTAAGGAATCTCGAGTCAAAAGCACGCCGCGCGCCGCCTCAAATTGCCTATCTTTTTTGTGGCGGCCATGTTTACAGAAACATAATTAAACTTCATGATGGCTTTGCCAAAGCCTTAATAAATTAAAAAATATATATGTATATAGTTTAATAGGTTTAAAAATTATTCAATTTTTTTAAATAATAAAAACATGAATCACTTTGTTCAAATTATTTCATTTATACGTCTTAGTATGTATATTTTATATTTAAATTTTCTTTTAAATTTATCTTACTAATCATAATTAACAATAATTAATTTTGAACAATTCTCAATTATACTCGCACAAGAAACATACACTTGGTAAAAATTAACACGGAAAATGGAAGCACTGCCCTGCTTATCAATTAATTTTTTTAAGGGGGCAACACTCAATGTTTATCTGTCAAGTCAATTCATCAGTCATCAAATCAGCTGTGTATCACGCAGTGAACATGTAATAACAAATGTGCGTATTAAATTATTGGTGTGAAAATGTCCAGTGAGACAATTGATAAAAAATCAACTCAATGTTTATGATAAATTCACGGTGTAGAAGAAATGGCGCGCCGGCGAAGCAGCGGGATTACGAGCCTGGGTTTTAACCAGGATCAAGGTTTGTGTCACTTCCTAGTTCGTCAACCTTTTCTTTGTTCTCAGGTGTTTGTTGTATTATTCATGATGTTGATGAGGTTTGTGGCTCCACCCGAAGTATAGTGACGCTCGAATGTTGATATTTTTCGGGTATGCTTGGGGCATGAGCTTAATGCGAGTAATTATCATAATGTTTGTAATCGCGCCACGCTTCTCGGACGCGTGTTATTTTGTACACGTGTTGTTTATATTTTTAGTGCGCCCACGCGCGGTATTCATTCTTCGCTTACTATTGTTTAGGCATTGGTTCATTTGCCCTTGTTTTGCGTATGTTTGTTCGGACTTATTTTGAATAATAATAGAAGTACCCACTTTAGTAGTTATGAGACAGCAATTGAATACTTACGAATAATACTAAAAATAGATACAAAACCATTTATAGATCCTTGTTCATAATGGCAGCTGTATTCTTCAATGTCTTTTTCACAGATATGCATGTAGTATTCACTATCTACCTATAATACCTACGTGTGGTTGTTGACAAAAGTAATTTGTGGAACATTTTGTCTTTTGTCATTTACATAGGGTTCCAATGACAATACCAGGATAAAATATTAGCATGAGTGATTCCCCCAGATGTTTTACACATACTGACTACTGCAACTGCCTTGCAATACAAAACATGTGGTATGAAAAAGTATTTTTAAATGAAAATGTAGGAAATTTGTGCAATGTTGATCTGTTTGCAATACATTTGTATTACCAGAGTAAAACTATTTTTTTTGTGACAAATTTAATTGAGGCTAGTTTTTTTTATGAAATGTAAGTGTACATTTGTTGTAGGCATTTTTGCAATTATTTTTGTAACTTGACTTCAAGTCATTTACAAACTTGTCAGTAATTTACTAACCACCATGACAAACATAGCTATTTAAAGAGTTCTTTTTAAAGGGGTAGAGTTCTTTCTAAGGTTTTCGCGATTTTTAGGCATAGGAAATGAAACCATTTTTTGGATCTAAATTGCGTATATTTGTTTTTCAAACAATCTCACATTTTGGGATCTTTACAGGTCCCATGGTCACAGTCATCCGTTAGACCTTGCATTTCCTAAAATGACTAAAATTAATGAGAAAAATTGTGTTATTTTCAATACAGTTTATGTATGTTTTATGTAGTTTTATGACAAACGCTTTTTATGTACCTAGTTTTATGACAAAAATTTTTGGAGGTCATTATGATAACTCCAAACTGAAGGTCATTATGATAACTTAATTTTTATGGTGATCTCCCAAAGTAGCAAGGCATCACATGTTTTGCGGTTGTCACACAACAGTCTTGACAAGTTTCTTACCTCATATTGCAGATGGAGTACTTGGAAGTTTCTTTAACTGGTTGGTTAGCGATAACTAAAAACAATCATTGGAACTTCAGGTTTATGTGTTTTAATGGAAGTAGTGGACCATTCTCTTTTAGTTTACATAGATGCCAACATATTATGTTGAAGGAGTCGGAGTGAAATCTTTAAAGCAATGTTTTTCAAGGCAGTATGCAGTGGTGCAGGCTAAATGCATTCACCACTACATAATCCAGACACTTTTCACATGTCCAAATAATAGCTCCTTTTTAGTTGATCAAATTTATCAGTGAAGTTCATGTTTTGGTCATGAAAGTTTGTGAATACATGCACACATCTCGTATCCTTCCATTTCATGTACGATTCTGATTGTGACAGACAATAAGCATGTTGACCACTATGCAGCTGAATGTCAGTTTTAAGTAGTGGTAAATATTTGCAAGTAGCATTGACAACTCCATAGACATATTTTCTCTATCCATAGTCACTTGTAAAAAGTAATTATTTAAATAATCATCTAAATAAACTGTGCGATTTTTTACTTCCAATCTTTTGCATAATTTTTGACAACTTTTCCTTTTAAATAAGTTTCGACTTTGTCTGTAACTTTTCGTGTGGAGATATCTAAGTCCAGGAATAATTAGTTGATGCACACTTAGTTCACATTTTGTAACTTTGTTGAAGTTTGAAGGTTTCTTTGCCTTGTATTGCTTGAGAGAACTTCTTGCCTTGAATTTCACATCAAGTCATCTATGGCATATGTTCATTCATCATGGATTCTGCCATTTGATTTATAAATGGCCGGAGTTTATATAGCTTGTGTAATTTTGACGCATTGACTCATCGGAATTATTACCAAAAATTGACAGGAAGGTTCTGGCTCTCACCTCCTAGTGTTTGCTACAGTTTCATACAAATGTAGTATAACTCTAAAACTTTTTCTCTAGGCGCTCTTTGAATTTCTAAAATAAAAACTTAGATAATATTCATATTCATATAGTAATATCTGTACACTTTTCTCACTTTTTACACTTTTCGTACTTTTAAAAGGAAACTAGACAAACATTTTTTTCAATTTTATAGTAGAGCATTGGTGAGACTGTGGCAACGCACTGTAATGTTCGGAATGTTACTTAAATTTTAAGTCCAGCTGCTTACGCCTTGCTTGCTAAATTATTGTTTATGTTTGTGGAAGTCCATGCTCTAATCCATGTATCATCTACCTGGTTAATGACTGTTTGTTTCCTTTGTATAAAAATTAAAAAAAAATTTTGCAGCAGGCTGCTTCACTTGCTGCCTAACATCCGGCTTGCGCGTTTACAACATCGATCCTCTTGTGGAGAAGACGCATTACAGTAAGTATATTCATAAAGTAATATTGTTTTGTCTTTCCCAACTTCCAGGAAAAATTTGCTAATAGGTAGGTGAATGTTAGAATCAAGCGTTGACTGCAGATAATATTTACGGATCCTGTCAACATGAGGGTGACATTTTCTAGTTTAGAGAAAGCCCTAATTAAATAGAAAAAAAACAAACAAAACACTATTACAATTATTTATGGAATACTCCATCGTCTGCTTGAAGGTAAAACCATATAAAGGCCATTTTCCACAAAAATCTCTAAATTATGTACCTATTGTAATAAAATCAGCATCTTTCTGCATATAAAACTGTTATTAAGTTCGTAGCTTTTTTGTTATTGAGTTTCACATGCAGAAAGGTAGTAATTTTTTTTTTATGTGATTTAAAGACTTTGCTTAAAATGTCACTTATGTGGTTTTACCTTTAAACAGATGATATCTTCAATACAATATATATACAGGCACATCGTCACGTCACATTGATAGCATCACAAATCCCATTAAATCTCATATGAAATTTTGTTGACCATAAATTACATATACTACTATTAATACAAAACACCGGCTATTTGCAAAATTCCTTTTTTTTAGCTGCTTCTACCCAGCTGCAATTATGTATTAATTCACTAATGCATTATTTAGTACCTAATAGGTCAAAGTACGTTGTTAATTTTAATCAGATATTAATTCCAGCAACAATGTGCTGTAGACAATGACTGACTACTAAATTTCCATAACGTAATTATGTATTAATTGTTAATAATTTGGCGAGTTTTTGAGTAAATTACAAAGAAAACTATAAACTTCCTGTCTTCATTTTGTTGAAAGAGTAATAATATATAAGGTTACTCTTAATAACCCGTTATATCGTAAAAACAAACCATGTTTGTACCACGACCATCTACTCTTAGAAATAACACACAATTATTATTTTTTACTTCCCATGGAATATATGCGAATATTTATTAATTTTATAATTTGCTTTACTAAGCAACAGATCAGTTAATTCCGGTAGGTTAGGTAGTTTGAACTCAATTACGTTTAACTTGGATTAAAACTTAAACGGAGGTATGGACTTTTGTCATCAATGTTTGTGTTAGAAGAAATTAGGCCTTTCAAATTAGTTAAACTCTATCTCATATGAATATAGTAAAATAATAGTACAATACACTAAATAATAATAGTATTATATATTATATAAACTATAAGTAGAGAATATTTAGTATAAATTTTCTACATAAATTAATAGTTGGCATTGGAAAAGTTTTTCCCATATTTTTTTCCAATTTATAAAGCCACTGCTCGATAAAACAATGAAAGAGCAGACTTTGCAATGATTTTTATACGAAAGTAATAGAATTTTAAATTATGTTTCACCACGTGTATACGTACGTTCCATACGACACAGGCAGAGAAGATCTGGGCGAGGTGGCGCTATGCGAGATGGTGTTCCGCAGCAACTGGCTGCTGGTTGTAAAGGCGCGCAGGCCCTGTAGCCTCATGCTGTTGGACGATCAGCGGAGGAAGTTCTGCTCTGAGGTCCTCTTCAAGTCACCTATTAGGGCTCTGTGCGCCAGAAGAGACAAGTAAGTTTTGGATTGTTTGCGAATTGATTATTATTGGTTTTAACGGGTAAAAGAAAACATTGTTAAGTAAACGGAAAAGGTCCTAAATTGCATATGTGACCTCTATGACCGTGTAGGCTCCACCCATGCCCAGCAGTAAGTTGGTGACAGCTGGTTGAGTTGAGTAACTTTGCAGTTTTTAGTTCCTAAGCTGCAAATTTTAAATCATCTAAGTTGTGTGACGATAGAGTGTCAAGATTTTGTACATACATTTAGTATTCTGCTAAAAGTTAATCGAGCTGCTATTCAACTGCCATCGCAATTTTTTGGTATTCTGCTCTTCAGTGGCGAGTCAATGGTACGTCAGTGGTGTAGTGTATTAATATTATATCTAGAGTCGGCGGACTAAAGCACATAAGTCAAAATCCAACATCATTCATGTAAATTAATACATCTACTGGATAAAGTCCTTAAGTCAAATTCATTTGTTACTTCATAAATTTGTAACTTTATTCTAGAGGCGTTTTTTTTTCAAATTTATTAATAATAAATGACACATATTTTGCTTACATAATAATTATTCTGTTCTTGATCATACACGAACATTGTTCCGTTGCAAAAATATCTAAAAACTCCAATTTATTGTAGGTAGGCAAATCAATACCTAAATAATATTGTGACCGTATTATAAACATACAAACTATTATGTTGCATTTCGGCTAAAATGCGGGGTAACTAAGGTAATGTTGTGGAACAATGACGTATTACAAAGTCTATCCGAAGAATAACGACGGTTGTGTCCATTCGACTACCGCTGATCCGTAAAAAAATGACGGATTGTACCAAACGTCTTCGATCAATGCATAGAACAAAGTCACATTTTATTTTCCGTCACCATAATCACCATTAAAAATCAACGAATGATAAAAGATTTAGAGAAGAGAAGAGATTCCAAAGGTATTTTCATGAAAAACAGGACACAGGAAACTACTTGTCTCAGATTTTCAAGAACAACGACGGATGTGACAGTTCGTTTTTCACCGACAGAGTATATTTCCATCCAGTTTACTTTAAAAGTATACATAACATTAAAATTATTATGATAATAATTGTTACAACTCCATACTTAGTACACTGGCATGATGTTCTTCTGTTTTGTTTGAGCCTATTTCATTGTAATGCATTTTATTTGCTTTTCATTCGCATTTTGAATAAATACCCTGTACTGTTATTACATTTTAGTATATTTTTGACCTCATCAACGCCATAATTAATTTTAATTACAGAAATATGGTTATAAAAACTATTATCATTCTCAAGTTATAACAAACTTGATGAACGCTAGCGCGTCGCACAGTGCAACCTAGAACAATGACGATTTGAATGATCCGTCGCGCGGGGAAGTGTCGTGGTGGGCAGTGGTCAGCGCCGTACACTGACGGTACTATTCATACGACATTTTTACTGCGTTCAAAAATCAAATCCGTCAGTATTCCAACTCTGTATCTTGGCTGTTGTAAATTAAAAATGAAAATAAGTTTTATTTATCGATTCCATAAGATAATATAAGTAGATTAATGGCATAAAACGAAAATTGAAAAAAAGTCACAACCGTCTTTGTTCTACGACTACGACGATTTAATCTGAAGACTAAATAGCATATAAATAAGGAAACATCGATCGTTAGTGATTGAATGAATGTATGTTATCACATAGCCATTGCACTGACTCTCTACTCTATTGAGACTCAACTACCGTTGCAACTAGATTTTAGCAGAATTGCGAATATCGCCATTGCAATCAATGGAATTAATGGCCACTGGTTTTAAGAAAATGTAGAAGCGAACCCCTGAAATGCGGGGATCAATCTAAGATGCTCTCACCTATACTCCAAATTCTTTTCAATTACGCCACACGGACGCCGCCTACGTCATAGTATATAATAAGTAATAAGACAAGTGGTATAACTCCACACAAATGTACCACCGCGTCTTGTATTCGTGTATGCGTACCGTGTGTGGACGCACACATTCGTATACTTTGCAGTGCACTCAAAGAGTACATTATATCTAGGAGTGCACTCGAGTAGGTAGCACAAAGCGGGTCGCACGCATCATTCATTACAGAATTGAAGCGTTCGCTCGATGTATATGATTTATAAGTTTTTGGTTTATAAATGTATTATTATGTATATAAATACTTGCATTTCATTTCTCTTTCAAGATCATACTCCCATAATCGTGATACTAATCCACTATGCTGGTATAAAAATATCATATTTGTGTAATATATTATATTGACAAAGGTTATTTCATTATACCACGAGAGTACTGTGAATACCTTTATCGATAATTAACTTTTTTTAAATTATGTTTAGCGACCTATAGATAGATAACGTGATAGATAACCCTACGTTTCGAGTGACGTGTAGACATTGATACGCCGAACAGGAAGGAGTTGAACCACTTGTGTTATTATTGTTTTATTATACTGTACAGCCGTCTCTTGGCTCGTACAAGCAGTCATACATATATTAATTGACACGTGCGCAACCAGAGCGGTGAACTAAACCAAGTCTACTAAACTAAACAATTCTGAAATAAAAGCAATAACATTGTCTACTTTTGTCGTGAGTTCTAACATGCCTGTATCTTCACGCCATCGAATCTTGAGTAAAATAGATATCTGATCAGATGTTATCGCCAACTAATTGTAACGATGAAGGAAAACACAATGAGAAAACCACCGCTTCCTTTAAAGTTCATTAAACTCTTCAAAGATATGTAAGCTCAGATTAGGCCAATGTTGTCGGCTCTGTAGAAAAAACATTCTCCAGTAAGGTATACGTTGAGGTAGTTACTATCGTTTTCTTAGCTATGAGTAACATCAATATGTCATCAACAGTTGTAAAACCGTCTTGAACTCATTCCACAGAAAAAAATAGGACTTAACTGTGATACCTTTATGATGTATTCTACATATCGAGTTCTTAGGTACAGTTAACAACACATCAAGCTACACTTTTGTTCTAATACCGCTTCCAGTGCAACGGAGCAAAATACGCCAATGTGTAGCTTGGTGTACTGCCCTCTGTACCACCAGCTTGGAATACAGTACCTATTTCCTCTCATAAAAAATCCGAAGCAGACCATAATGCTGCAGTGCCACTCATTAATATGGTTTATTTTATTTCTAATTTCCTTTTAATTACATAATAAATTTCATTTTAGTAAAAAAATCGTATTGTTAAAATGAAATATTGTTCAAATCGTTCTTGTGGTAAATTAAAAATAAGGTATTTAAATTAATATTTTTTGTAACTATAATTCAGAATATTCATATTGTTCAAAGCATTCATATTACTACTATACTATAACTAGTTGATGACTTTAAAAGGTAATCTCTTGCAGCCGTGACCATGAGACCTATAAAGCGTCCGAAACGTTGGTTTGTTTAAAAAACCAAAATTAACGCTATTTAGATTCAAAATTGTTTAATTTCCAATTATTCTACATAATAATATGGACTTATTTGTATCGCGCGTCATTAATAAAGTGCTATAAACTGTCATTTTCTACGATAAGATAACCTTAGCCTACTAACCTGATTTTATGTAGAGTGGAATATGAGAATAGCTATTCTACTGTATTTGCTTTACTAATGTTTTACTATTTATTAACCTTAAGAGTATTTGCTTTGATTGTACGTAGTAAATTTATTAGTACATAAATGTTAAATGTTTTTGTAACACGTGTGTAAATAATCGTTATATTATTATACATAAAGATATTTGGACGTGACTAACAGAATCTGTTATTTTAATTCTAGTTAGACCGGATACAAAATTAACTAATTATTTTCTTTTTTTAACAATTGATTTACGTGCTTATCAGGTTCATGGTAGCTTTAGGCTTAACTAAGTGATTGTAATCGCTAACATATTTTAATTGTTTATTCGATAACAATTGCTTAAGTACTATAGTTAATATTATATTAGATTGGTGAATGAATTATGCAATGTTTATGATTTAATTTAAAAGGTAATGAGTAAGTAGATTGGGATCCTCGCCATCTTGTGGAATTTTAAAGAAATAATTTTTTGTACTAACAACACGAACGGAGGAATTAAACGTATTTTAGCGGCGCCATGTCAGGGTCCTAAAATATGCAGAAATGATTACAGTGACATGACAGTCAAGAGCGTTTTAAGCTTGACACTTGGGATTTAGACCATTTTTTATTGTACGCGGCCTTTTGATTTTTTACCTTAAGTATCAAGCTCGTCATGCTCTTGACCCTGTACGTTGTAAATTCTACCGCATGAGTTTCAGTATGTCTACAAATGCATATACGATTTTTCTAAATATTTGTTACGGTAGTATCGAGCTAAGGAATTTTTTCCTATTTAAAAATAACCTTGTCAGTCACATAATTTTGACATATTAATGATCCTGTACCTCTAATATAGATACACAAAAATAAAATGCTCTTATATGCAATGATTTCTTGAACATATTGGCGTCTTAATCCAGGGTCACTATAATCCGGTGTCACTATAATTCGGTATTTAGATAAAATGTTACAATTTAATCGGTTCTAGTCGCAAATAACATTTTTAAAGTCAAGGTTTTGTTTCTGTCCACACAAGGATGACCTTATTTCGGCGTCACCATTATTCAATCTCGAGAACCATAGTACCTACTTTACTCAGTAAAAGTCGTAATTGTGTCAGTGCTGGTCGCAAAAAATTAGATTGAGCCGTCACGCATTGCGGTGTAGCATTGCGTGTAAATGAAAACTGCGAGACACGCGCGTGACATATTATTATGATAATTTGTGTATATACGCACGTAATATTTAATTTGCGTCAACTGTAGTAGAGGGTCAAAAGCACGCCAACCTTAGACACTGAAGATTAAATTCAACTCTATGCCAACTAAGTCTACTCTACTACCGACTACTAATGCTGACACTAAGTGTCAAGCTTAACCTTTTTAGTTAGTGGTCTTGACTGTCATGTCACTGTGTGGTGGTGTTAAAATACTTTTAGATTCTATATTCAACTTGCCAGTAGGAACAACTATTTATTTAAAAACGGTCCAAATCCTAAAGTGTTTTGATGTGCTCTTGACTGTACCCATAGCTAGTTTTATCAGCTTTTGTTCTTTTTAAAATGTAAGTAACCTAAGACCTTTGTTTTATGTGTATAATAATTATTATAAAAATAAATAATTATTTTTATGTATCTGCTATATTTTTTGATAATTATATACATTAATATACAAACGAGATGGTACAGTGATATTAGCGAGAGCCGAATTGCATATGCAGTGATATTTATGTGTTTACAGCAGAATTTGTGGTTGTGTTTATGCAATAGGTACTTATCCAATCCTGAGCTCTCTCTGATATCACAATACGAAAACGCATCTTATTGATCGTAAGAGTTTGTGATTATTCCTGTTTTTAAAACACGTGAATGTGTATTTAGTACTTTCAGGAGGTTTAAAGTTACTTTTGGTGCATTCTGTAATTAAAAAACTTTTCATCTCGAGCAGCTTACTCATAAACATTCTCATGTATGTATTTTTTCTCTGAGCAGAGTCCGCGTCGTCGCCGCGCAGCGACCGCGTGCGTCTAACTGTCGTGGTAAAATAAGCTCTATGTATTTAGCTTTTACGTTTAACTTAAATGAGCGTCCTGGGTTTGCAGGCGACTCTGGCTTGAATTTGGTCTACGCGGACACCGCTCGGCGACCGCGTGGTTGTATTATTCAGAGGAATTTAAATGTTGTTGCCTAGTAAATAGAATTCAGATTCACCATTAATGTATATGAAGGCATGCTAACTGGGTGCTAACAATATGATTATAACAATGGAATATATTATAATTATTAACACGAAGATCGAATATTAAGTAAAATTACTTCGATCCAGCTGGACTCGAACCAGCGCCCTCGCCACACCGTGGCTGACACTCTCTCAGCTGACCCACGGAACGAACCAAAAGACCCATGTGCTTGTGTATTAATATTACAATGGAATATATGTATTATTGTTTATTACAATATTTCAGAGTGGCTGTGGTACTCCAATCATCCATCCAAGTCTTATGCCTGCCGTCGCTGCAGCGCGTGGCACTTCTTCGGACGCCGACAAACTCGCGCCCTCTGTGCGCGCTCGCCACCGAACCCGGCGCCTTGCAGATCCTAGCTGCGCCCGCGCATCGGAAAGGATCCTTACAACTTCTGGTATGTTTCTCCCTATATCGACTTTTAACATGCCTGCGTTATCCAAAGTGTTGTTGTCTTTCTATAACGATTTTCAAATTCTCGGTTTAACGGTAAAGGTAAACAATATGAGTACACCTTAAGGCTATGAACTAAAATACATTGTCATTGCACCTGTATAAAGAACGAATTTTATGCATTCATACTTTACCGAAGTTTGCATGCCTCCATGAAAAATAATGTAATGATATTATAAAATCATTTTAAAGCATAAATTCTTAGGTTTTCACAATTGTTACACGTTGGATTGGAAATTAAACTATCTTTCGTATCTAAATTGCGTAGTTTTAAACAACGTTTCGGGCCCTTTACAAGTCTCATGGTCGCGATTGACTGAGGTAGTAAAGTCATCAACCAGTTATGTCTATAATTCATGCAAACCACCCTAAGTTATTAATTGAATACCTTATTTTGAATCTACCAAAGAAAATTCAAATTTACGCTACACACGTTTTGCAAAATATTTTATTTTAACAACATGAATTTTTACTGAATTAAATTTATTAATTAAAAGGAAATTAGAAAGTATTTGAAACATTGCTAATAAATGGTACTGCAGCCTTATGTCTGCTTAAGATTTAAAAAAAAAACAAATATTTAAATATACAATTACTCATTACTGTCATATTTTAATATAATTGTTTTTATTATAGCACAAGAAGAAAGGATAACTTGCATGCACGTTATACTACTTATGCATGTGAACTAACCTGTATTAGAAACTAGCTTGTAACATGTACTATGCCTAGAAACTGTTCCAGGATGTATCGCGGGCCGTCAAGGGGGCGCAGTCGAGCTCTCCTGCCGTCGTAGGATGTCACCAGACTGAGCTAGTTTGCCTTAGTCTATCGGCTAATGGGGCTAAATTGGCCACTGCGTCCGCGAGGGGAACCATCATCCGCCTTTGGGACACTGTTAGTAAACAGATGCTGCACGAATTGCGTCGAGGATCTGACTATGCGGACGTATATTGGTAAGTTCTACTGAATGTCGAGATTTTGGTCACGTAAATTCGGCGTGTGACTTTTTCCAGAGATCCGAAATTATGCGACTAAATTTTGGTAGGTGTGATGTCACATTTAAGGTCAATATCGCAGTGTTAGCGTTGGCGCCCTGCATCTGATTCGTATTCGTTCTGGATCCGAGACTATACAAATCTAGAAAACTCGGACCCTGTACTGTATGATGTACTTTATCTATAAAATAAATAAACAATATCACTTGTGCACCTAGAGGTAAAATTAAAAGTGGTCTCTGTGACATTTCGGACTGATACGAATTGGCCGTAGTGCGCTTACGCTGTTAGGGTCGTAATCTAGAACTCTACTCAATGTTCAAGTCAGGATTGCACTGGAAACACAAGCACTGGAAATACGACCCTAATGGCAGGGACTTGAGTATGATTTTCAGTGCTCACTGCAATACTCAAGTCCTGACTTGAGTATTGAGTAGAGTTCTAGAATACGACTCTTAGAGTGAAAAACCTCGCAGATACGTATTTTTACATAGTTTAGCTTTTACTGATTCCAACAAAAAAGAACCATCAAAATATACTCAAAAAACCGCGTAACACTGACTACAGTGAAACTGAATATTAAACATTATTGCATTAATTTTATTGTTTTACGTTAAAGTGTAACCTCCTATAAGTTCTTCATGAAATTAACACTTTTTAGTGAATATCGGGAATATATTGAAGGTTAACTAACTATAAGGAAACTGTTACTGTATCAAGTTTTCTAAGAAAAACGTTTTTGTGTTAGTGTCTTTGTGACGCAGTTCGTTAAGTATCTGGGCGTTGCGATAGGTCTTCGATTTCCGGTTGAACTAGATTTAATAATCGCCAACAACTTTAATGATCTATAATGCTAAAGAGCCTCATTAAAATATTTGCATTTTTACTTTAAAAACAGCATTCTGTAACTAAAAAACAACTATTTTGATTATCCGTACAGACCTGAGGGCCTACTATGAGCTCTTAGAGCAATCCTATTAGTTGAATTGCCTGTCAAATTCGTACTATGACCTCACAAAAACAATTCACTGTCCATGCAGTTTACGTTCCCTATTCGAAATCCGTTCACCTTTTTTTTCATAGCAAAATCGTATCATGACGTGCCATTTGCCATGCAAGTGGCGGTCTCATCTGTAAAAATAAGCAATTCAAAAAAAGTTACTCCGTGACTAACTTTTTTAGATTTTGTTACATTTAAAAAAAAAATTCGTTTATGTTTTATTACATTTTCGGTTTCATAATTATTTGTTATCTATAAAGACTATATAGCCAATTGTCAGTAAATAAATACTATTAACTATTGAGCGTTTTTTGAAAATCTTAGTTTGAGTTCCCAATCTTTAAAGTATTATTGACAAATTATGGCATGAATGTTATTGCAATTTTTTAATGGAATTTTAATCATTTTAATAATTTCATTGACCGAAAATCTTAAAACAACTTTTAAATAGTGCCAAATTTGACTTTAATGCAATCAATGAAAATGTACGAATACAAGATACGTTCCAATTATGTTATCAAATTACAAACTCACCTTATTAATTTCAATGATAATGACTAAACATGACATGTAATTTTGTCGTACGACAAATTGTAAAGTATGATTGAAAAGCTGCCGATATTACAAAACAACGTAGTAAGTATAATCAATAATAAAATTAATAAAAAATATAATTATTCTCATTTTGAACACAATCGGTTAATAAATAGTGCTTGATGCTCCCAGGATAGTACATCTGTCTATTTCTTTCATATGATTTAGTATGTTGTCCCATCTCGCTCTTGTTAGATGTCAGCTAGCCAGCCAGAGACAATAATTAACGTTTAAAAAGTAAAACTCATCATCATGTCATGCCATTCCCATTCAACTTTGTGTAGGCCATGATACGAATTTAAGCAATTCAGTTTTACCACGTCAAGTAAATTGCATGAAACTTGGCTGGCTGCTTATAAGCTCATAGTAGGCCCCCTGGATTGCAACTGTTCATCTAGTATGGGAGTCAAATTTTTTTTTAATAGGACAAATATTATTTAATTTCAATAATAAAAACATTGTATTAACTAAATTTTTAATTAAATTAATGGTTTAAAAGCGGTTTAAATAAATAAATATTAGACAACATCACATACGTTGCTCTGATCCCAAAGTAAGTAACTAAAGCACTTGTGTTATGGAAATCGGAAACGACGGCGCCACCACAAACACCCGACACAACGTAGAAAAGTTCGTTTTCTACTATGGGTCATAGTAGACCGGGGATCGAACCCGGGACCTAAGAGATGGCGAAACCATGAAAACCGGCAGGCCACTCGACCATGGAGGTCTCATTTTGGTTTAATTTTTTAATTACAATGATTTATTGCAATTGCAGTATAAACTTCAATCCGTCGGGTTCGCTGGTTTGCTGCGTGTCGGACAAGGGCACTTTGCACGTGTGGTCGACGCGTGGGCAGCCGACGCACCTGGCCGCCGCTGCGCTTGCGCTGCCCTCGCAGGACATCCGCGCCATGTGCGCCTTCGCCGATGACAACAATGCCGTTGGTAAGGGTAGACCTACACTGTTTTTTTATACATATATGAAAAGAACTCATTGATAGAACAAGTTTGGCGCTGGAATAATATACAAACCTTTCAGAAACAGACTGTAAGCCGAAAAAATTTCAGTTGATGGTTTTCACATATGTATAACTTTGATAAAATTCCACAACGGTTAAGCTAGGCAATTTGATTGTTTCCATGAATATTGATTATTTTGTTAATAAATGTTGCAAAAACATAGAAATGCTATTTTATTAAAATATCACATAAAATAGTAAGCTTTTTCATGTAGCTAAATACAGTAAGGATGTACATTTTTTTTAATACCTAAAATCAGCATCCGGCTGATGTGTAATAAAACCTGCATCAGCAACAACCCTGATACACACATAGGCTACCACAAAGCACACCCATATGTTCACGGGAGTAATAAATGTAGGCCATATAAATATTTCTCTCGGCCCGAGAATCGAACACGGGACCTCCGTGTAAAAGACCAGCATGGTAATTTGAAGGTATGTGTGAGAAGGGATTGTAATAGTGAGAGATTGCAGCTTGTCGCTGGCCATCAGGGGATGCCGCGTGTAGTTTGTATGCGACCAGCGTAAAGCGTTTTGTATAGTACTTTTCTTTAGGGTCTAAAAATTTGTATTAATAATTTTGTTGTGCATTGGCTCATTTCAGTGATATGCGACGATGGAACTTTCCACAAATTCACATTCGCGGCTGATAGAAACTACCATCGCAACGATTTCGAATACTTCTTGCAGGTCAGTATCCCAACGTTTTTCTGTTAGTTTATTGTGCCATACAATACTAATGAATATAATTTACAATTTTTACGAAAAATAAACATTCTGTGAGCTGAATGTTGAACTGCATGCTGAACATACGAACGTTAAATTCGGAAGTATGTAAATGCCTAATGTCTGTTAAATAAAATTATAACTTACTTCCATTCGTAGTAAAAAAGGTGGCGACGAATTACAAAAGTATAATGAAAATAATTGAGAAGTCAACTTTCGCTGTACATTAGCTACTAAGTTTTTGTACCGTGTAACCTTAACGTATTGCAATGATTTTTTAAATCTGTAATTGATGTAATGGGTTTCTAGAAATAGTACTAGATTTATTTTTTACGTAACATGTAACATTATTATTTGAATTGTGGTGTTCCATATTATGTCGGGCCATGACAGAATAACAGCGAGGGCTACGTAATTAGCATAGTCCTCAGAGGCTCAGTCATGGACCCTTTTCACATGTTTCTTTTTTATTTTAACATGAATTTATTATTATTTTTTGTTTTGTTTGAAATTTATGTATCATCCAATTGCGATAAAACTTTCGTGGGTTGTTGCGCCCACACCCACACAGGACAGGGTATCAAGTCAAACAAATTAACATTTTTTATATTTTATTATTTAGTACATTATTAAAACTATAGATGGATTGAATAAAACAAAAAATATATAAATAAAATATAAAAAAGAAATGCAGAACTATTTAAACATCGTGTTAGAAATGTTCAAATAAAATTAATTTACAATTATTATTATAATTAGTAAAAACAGTGAACTCGTTGAAGAATTATAGAGTTTTAACAACCAATAAAACTTACCTATTATTTTTTCATCAATATCCGGAATCCATCTTGAGTCAAGCGCCTGTCTTTTACCCTTTAAGTCACCATTTCCTCTCCGATAGTGGCGCCCTCTTTTCGTCTCTTGGAACTAACTTACGCGCTCACCAGGTGACGGCTCGTCATTATGCGCCAGGTAGTCCTTATCTGGATTCCGGATATTGATGAAAAAATAATAGGTAAGTTTTATTGGTTGTTAAAACTCTCTATAATTTGTTTGGTATCAATATCCGGAATCCATCTTGAGTGACATGTTTGTTAATTGCTCTATAATGTATGTAAATGCTACACAGGTATTACATAATATAGCCGTATACATATTATGATTTATCTCAACGATCATAAATAACATAACACGACAAATACGCAATTAGCTTACCGGGTCAAAATAATTTGACAGTGAAACAGATTTGGTATTAATTTAAGGAAGTGTCATCATTATCAATTAATTCTTTTTGATAATATTTTTTAAAAGCATGACTCATTTTCCAGTTTCCAGCTGCGAGTATTTGATCTATGGGAAAATTTTCTACAAAATTAAGGGACGCCACTGCTAACCTCACGGAGCCAGTCGTTGCTTCAATACCACTTTCTTTATATTGTATTATGTTTTACAAAGAAGTTGGAGGACACGTCTATGCTAGATGTTAAGTGTGTAAAAGTTGAAATTACCGACTTGTGAACCAAAATTGTTCTGTAGGCCAGACCAACATTACAGTGTAAATGAGCTAGGTAACGAGCTACTTGGTCAGCATTAGGGTACTTATAATTAATTGAATGGGACTCACACCATTTTCTCCATCTGTTCCACGCAGGCCGGTATGTGTTAATCTTAGAGCTTCTCCAGCTCGACACCAATAGTGCTTGCTCCTGAGCTGACCATTCTGTTAGCATATCTTGCCACCCGAAATCAGCCATGCTTTCAGTTGCAGTTCCTGAACTGCTGGTGGGTGCATGCCCATATTCGTGTCTAGAAGAACTCTGGCTAGATCTGGAATTAGAATGGGGGATTGTAGTGCCCGACGTTGTACATCTGGTCGCCAAAGTACTTGGTTCCATTTCGGAGCAATCAGGATGAATTGACCGCTGGCTTGATACAAGTGCCCGAGGACTCTGGCGATGAGATTCGGTGGTGGAAACAGCGACGCTAGTTTGTAGTGCCACTGGTGACAGAAGGCGTTGTGGAGTTGTGCTTCCTGATCTGTGACATCCATCGAAACGTATCTCGGCACCACGGGAGCTGTTCTTGAAGCAAAAAGGTTTATTTCCGGTGTGCCCCACATTTGAAAGATTCTCATTACCGCTGTCAGATGCCACTCTGGTTGGACCTTCCGGCGTGACTGAGCGTCCACCTCGGCATTAACCCTGCCTGGAAAATATTGTGCTACTATGTGTATATTCAATTTGTTTACAATTTGGATCAGTTGTCGCGTCTGTTCGAACAATTTCTTTGACTTTGTCCCACCTTCTTTGTTTATATAGGACACAACAGTTCGGTTGTCTGTGACTGAAAAAGCACTTGTGCATTTTGCAAATGATGAGCCTGATGCAGGATCGCCGCGTGAACAGCGAACATCTCCTTTCGGTTGGCATGCCATGTTTGCTGTTGTACTGTCCAGGATCCGTTTATGCTGGTGTCGTCGAGCTGAGCACCCCATCCTATGTCGGATGCGTCCGTGGTTAACAAGTGAGTTATGGCACTCGTGTGTAGAGGCATGGACTCTCCCAAGATCTTGGCCCACCACTCCATCTCCGATCGGACTTCGTGGGGGATGTTTACTCCATGAAATGGAAAATTGTTTGGCAGCAGTCGACTGAAGCATTGCAGTGTGCGACAGTGGAGCCGGCCCCGTCTGGTTACAAACGTTGCGAAGTTGAGTCTCCCCATTAAGCTCTGGTACTGTTTGAGGGACCACTTGCCTTTCTCTAGCTGTTCGTGAAGTGCTTTGCGTAACGATAGACACTTCCGCTGCGACAGGGACATTGCGTTGCGTTTTGTGTCCCATATTATGCCGAGAAACTCGTGGCATTGTGTCGGAACTAAAAAAGATTTGTCGTAATTGACTGTCCAGCCGAGAGTTTGCATAATCTTTATTGTGAACGCTACGTCGTTCTGCAGCTGTTCCTTGGATTGGTTTGCCAGCAGAAAGTCGTCCAAATAAACCACGCCTCTGATATCGTGATTTCTCATAAATTCTGCCACCCAGTTGGTGATTGCAGCAAAAGTCCTGGGTGCTGATGAAAGGTCAAAAGGCAAACACGTCATCTGCAGCAGCTGACGTTGAAGTGGATCGTGATGACAGTTGAGCCTCAGGAATCTGCAATGCTGTTGAGAAATGCGCACGTGGAAGTACGCTTGGCTTAAGTCTAGTTTCGCCATCCAATCCTGACTCTGCAGAAACTCTGGTACACGGAAATGACTGAAGAGTTGAAACGGTTTTGTCATAACGAACTGATTCAGTTGTTTGAGGTTGAAGATAGGCCGGAATGTGTCGTCTGACGTGGGTACCAGAAAGACCGTCGACAGGTCGCTGGGACTTAGCTCTGCCTCTTCTAGGACACCTGCTTCCAACATAGCTTGAACCTGTGCAGTCATATGGTAGGATGATTTGGTTCGGTAACATTGCATGACTTTTGAGCTTGGAAATATTAGTAGCGGTTTGAGTACAAAAGGTATGCATACGCCGTTCAATAACTGACAAATTTCTTTCGGTGCTCTTAGATTGCTCTAAGTACTCTGAAATAGCTTTAGACAGTCGAGTCATTCGCGACGTTTTCCTTTAAATGAGGAGCGTCCCTCCGTTTTCTTAACTACAAATCTTAAATAAATCATCCATCACTTTATTATATGTAGATTCTTTAGAAAAAATGTTTTGCACTTTGTCGAATAGAGAACTAGCTGTCAATAACTAACTCTTTGGAATCGTACGCCCAATCGACGTTTACAACGATCTTTGTAATTCGTGCTGCAATGACCAATGCGTTGCTAACACAGCAACGCATTGGTCAGTGCAGCAAATGAACGTTCCAGCAATTTGAACGAGAATCATTTTTTAACATTGCACTTTCGAATCGTTTCAACTCATTATTTACATTTAGTTCGATAAAACCAGGGGTAGTTAAATATCTCTTTTGTGCATCGATAAAACGAATAGCATACCAATCATCGCATTTAAAACGTTGTAAATCGGATAATGTCTTCAAAAAATTTTCGTTTGATTTTCCGTAAACCGGATTTTTAATTGTACCAACTTCCAATAAAATGTTAAGCTTATTACTCTTATCAAACTCGCCGGGACGCCTTAAACTTAAGTCATTTGAAGCAACCACTTTCAATGTTTAAATTTGAATTCCTGTTTTCCAAATTTGCGCACTCTGACATGCGCACGGCCCGAAAAAACGACGTTATAATGAAGAGCTGTCATCTGGTGCGCGCGTAAGTAAGTTAGTTCCAAGAGACGAAAAGAGGGCGCCACTATCGGAGAGGAAACTGAAATGCTGACTTAAAGGGTGAAAAAGACAGGCGCTTGACTCAAGATGGATTCCGGACCTTGCTGCCAAACAAATAATAACAAACCGAAGGTTTCTCAGTGGCATGCTTTTTGATTTGTTAGTTTGCAATAAATTGTACAAATGGCAGTTTTTTTGAATTTATTCCGTCCGAATAAGTGGAGTTACGAGTGCGACATTTCTTTTTATGAGATTCGGTATCTGTACTAGTATAGTATTATATTATGTGTAGTATAATAGACTGTGTCCTCTAGTTGTGTTCAGCCGTACAGCGTTTGAAATAATTATTAACGTTTGTTTTTTCAGGTGGGCGATGACGACGAATTTCTACAGTGATTTTTTTTATTGACTGATACAGTAGCAATGTGACTGTGAAACCATGTGATGGCAACAGTACCAACGTAACATAAAATAATGCCGATTCATATAAAAAGTGAGCAAATATAAATTACAAGAAACCTCGCTTAAAAACGTGTTAAAAAAGTGCATAATGTGAGTACGTTTGCCCTTTTATAGGAATTCAATTTCACATTTTTGCATGTGACAAAAGTTGATAAGTATGTTGGGTCGTTTATGAAATAAGGGCGTTGGGCCATGAATCTTAATGTGAATAACCACATGCCTGCGCTCGCGCAATCGTTAATTCATGACGCCCATTATCTACCAAAGTGGAACCAATAGATTAATCATTTTGTTATTTTGCTTAATCAACGGCGTAAAGATGAGAAAATAACGAACTTGATTATTTACCTACTCACATACAGCACATCTTTGTTTCGTTATGGTAGATCATGGAGCTGGTACCTGATTTGCTTATTGCCCAGTTTTTGGTAGTAGCTAAAAAAATATCGAAGCAATTTTTTTTCGCAACACATCGATATTTTTTGTTTTTACTTTTAATACGCACATCACGACGGTGTTCCGTAGGTCTTAGGGCGAGCGAGACAGCGATATTGACATGATCTTATGGCCCAACGCCTCACGGTCCAAGTAGAGTATTCAAATATTATTAGAAACTCGCTAGTCCGTTACAAAATTTACAAAGTGTTAAAACTGAAAATTATTATGTAATGGCAATATATTACTAATAATATTAGAATATAATTTATTTAGAATTTATAATACTCTTTGTGGGTAATACAAAATGGTAAGTGATATTTTTATTTAGTCATATATAAAAACGTACGGCCCTTTATAGTCCATTTATATTACGAATAATGTAGGTTTATTAATTACCCCACCCTATCCTATTCTATTGGGTATTTGGCAAGAAAGTCGAAAAGTAAATAATTTTATTTCAATTTTGAATTTAAAAAAAACTTAAATTTATAGTGAAATGTGTAAGAAAACAGAAATATGTTGAAGAAAAAAACAAGCATTCAGAAATTACAAGTTAATAGTATAACATTTTTATTTAAAAAAACCGACCTCCAATTTACTAAGTTTTATGTCAATAATCAACATCGGTTAACGGAAAATGGTGAAATCCAATAAACAGGAGTCTTCCCCTAATTTGCCATTCTTAGAGGTGGAATATGTTCTTTAAATTTGAATGGGACCCCTACCCCATTTTCCAATAAAAAAGACTCATCGAAATCGGTTCACAAAATGTCGGAATAATCGCGCAACGTACACAAAAAATCACCAATCGAATTGAAACCTCCTTTTTTGTAGTGGGTTAAAAACTGCAATATTTGTTGTGTGACGTCAATTTTTAGTGGCGTCATACAAGTTACATACCAAGGGCGTTTTTGTTGAAGACCATTATTACATTGAGACGTCGAAAAACGAACTTCATCTCTGCCTCAGAGTGTTTATGTGACTTGATTCATGGAATTAAAAGTAGGTGTCAAATACCCTATTGCCATTGCTATCTCTGTGAATACAACCACGTGATTGTTAGTTTGAGGTTTTGTACTGCTTTCGAATGCGAAGATAAGGTGTAGGTTAGTAAGAAGCTGAAGGATTTTTTAACCTTTTTTTACTTGTAATTTTGGAACGCGCACGGACTGGACCTCATGATGAACTGGTTTCTTAACAACTCATTGAACAGTTTAAGACTCTCGAAGCAGACGCTTCCATTGATAGGTGTCGTCTGAAACTGATCATGCCTTGATTTGTTGAAGTAACCAGTCTATCGTTAGACAAACGCGTGGTCGGGGAGTCCGCTTCTTCCAGCGTAGAGCCATAGAATTGAAAAGGTTCAAAAATATTTGCCATCGTCATCAAAAAAGATTTTTTTTTCTACTGGCAACACGTAATGTCAAAAGCTTATACTGTTTCCTAAACGATTTTAAATATATTGTATATATGATGTTTTGCTTCATGGAGACATTATTTTATTTTTAAAAGTAAGTAATACTGTATTAAAATACTTAAAAAGTTGCTTGCCTCGTCTTGGAATCGAACCAATCATATTCGCAGGTTCAAATTATAAGTATTAATTCCTTGTAAGATAATATTATAATTTAAAGGAGCCTCGTTCAATTATGCAATGTATTAAAAAAAAGAAACAAACTTGAAACTACCAATGTATGTAGGATATTTATCCATTTTTTGTATCGAAATTAAATAAAATCTTTTTATGATGGATATTCAAAATAATACGCTTCACGTCTGTTATTATATCAACAGTTACACACACACACAGTACACATTATAATTAATTTCCCTAAACTTAAATGTACAATTTCACTGTATTCCTTTAATTTAAGACACTATGTTACTTTGACTCTTTCGATCGGCATCATAAAAATACAGGGTGTTTTTTTACTGCACAATTGGTCGTTACATTCCTAGATGAGGCTAGCAACTTTTTAAAGTCTATGAATGCAGTATTACTTTCTTTACAAATAGAACTACGTCTCCATTAAGCAAAATAACCTATCCGGATTAATTTAAGTACTTTCCCGCCGTGTCCCGTAGCCGTGAGACGCCTTGTATACTCGTAGATCAACCACTTTATACATCGCCACGCCAGTCGATGTTCAGCCGCATTGTTTCGGCTCTTACAATTTATGACAATCACGATCCGGTTGAATTCTCGGCAGAGGTGGCGCCAGCCAATAGATCTAGATCTGTAGATGATCAATGTTGTCTTTGTCGATCTGTAACTGAGTCCCTATCTTGCATTCGAACAATTTTAGACTTAGTCAGTCGAGTTTGTCTTTTTTGTATCACTCCAAACAGCGATTTGCGATCTTTATCACGCAAATAATTACTTATGAAATTCTGGTCAATTTTATTAAAGCATAATTTGTATTTGAATTTGAAAATATTATAAAGAGGAAAAATAAGAGAAAATTTGTATCGAAAGCACAACGAGGGCACCAAAAGTGTATAATTAGTGTAAATGTATTCTCCAGTCGGTTTTTTCGAATATTTGAACTTTCGGTAGGTTATACAGAGTGGCCGGTTAGCTTTAAAAATTGTTTTCTTGTGTGAAGCAAGTGTCAACTTGTATTTGGAATCTTCCTCTTAAGATTGATGACAATTAGTTCTTTATGAAATTTTGTGTAGTGTGTTCTACCGGTTTGACCTACTGCCTCTCAAATAGAGGGTCGTGGGTTCGAATCCGGGTTCGCACCTATAAGTTTCTCAGAGTTTATGTGCGAAATTTAATTTGAAATTTATCATGATCTTTTCGGTGAAGGAAAACATCGTGATCGTTGAAAAAGGTTCACAACCCTCGAAAAGCATGTGCGTCCCCAACCTGGATAGGGCCCGCGTGGCCGGACTATGGTCTAAATCCTCGTCAGAAAGGAGACCCGTGCCCAGCAGCGGGACGTATAAAAGAAAAGGGTTGACGATGATGAAATTTTGTCTCAAGTAGTGGAAGAGTCATTAAAAATTACCGTCGACATGGTTGATACCAAAGTTCCCACACCTCCCCGCGCCGTTACCTATTATGGAGCGGTCTAGTTTTACGGTCCAGCTACATTCAGTTAGTCAATATTATCATCCTTCTGGCTGAATCACATTATTTGAGGATTTCCTAGAAAATATATCTCGTCCATTCATTTCTATTACCCGCATCATCTTTCAGACCATCCATCTTCTTTTAAAAGGTAATCCGTATTTAACAACTTTCACAGGCTGTGCCACTTATCCCTCCACCTTACATTTTCGTATGACAAACAATTATAATTAAAGGAATACAAGAACATTGTTCATCTTTTACTAAGCACCTAGTATTTTGTTTTCGTGATTTTGGTGCCCTCGGTTGTTGATATGAAAAAAATTATATACATGCTTTGTTACGGGACTTTTAGGTTGGATGATGATAACAATATCGGGCACTAAATTGAATTTTTTTAATGGTTAATATTCATGAAACCTCAATGTATGTACTGTCACATTATACGCTGATTTGATTACGTAAGAACATTTTCAAATATTGGTTTTTAAGCAGATAAGTTATATGGTTGCCAATGTTAAATGTTTTGAACATACATATATATTATATATTTTGCGATATGAAAGATGATGGTTTTATATATGGTCCGAATTATTTTAAAGTATGTATGACTTTCAATTGTATATGAATGTGCTGTATTTGTGTTTTTTTATATATATAACCACGGACCAATAACTCAAAAGGACTGTTAATCTCCATAATACAGACTTAATACAGACTCTGAAAGAGGTCAAAATTCCGTCTTATATCTAGGTGGTGTTGATTGATAGCCTGGAAGTAATTGAAGCATTGGGTTGTAACAACGTAAAAGTGCATATCACGTAAAAGTGAGATTCGAGTGAAAATAAAGTTCTAATGTCTTATTATATTTAATATTTATAATATAAATCTTATATACTTTATTATTTGTTTGTCCTATGATTTAGCTAACAGATTCAGGTGCTATTATTAATTTAAAACAATTAGAAACATTTCAAATTTTTTTTTTTCGCTTTATCCGCCCTTGTTGCACCAAACAGGTAAATGAATGGGGCGTTCATTATTTCAACAATTTATTATTGTTTTTTAAGGAAATAAATTGTGAATCAATCTTATTTAAAAGTCACATTGAAAAAAATTTAAACGTATTTTTAGTCATTAAATTGAATTAGCTAGATGAAATGAATCTACAGTATCATCTTCAGTAGGTCTCACTGGCCTAGATGTTCCATGTTGAGGATGAATTAGCTCCTTTCAGACATTTTTTTACATTAAAATAAGTTTTTGCAAACTGCAGGTGGCAACGTGTCCGAAATTCAAACGCACAGTTATAACCTATGCCACCTTCTAAATGAATGAAAATTACGCCATCTAGAAGGGAGATCGAAAGAAGTTTTTATCACGAGATACTAGATAGTGTTTTACATGTTTTGATGCAATAATATCAAAACGGGCTTTGGGTACCGAACGCCCTTGTTGTTCCCAATGCTTCAATTTATATTATGCAAATGGTCATGGATATCACTCAATTCCTCTTTAATATGGAATTAGTATCAAAATATTGATCATGAGCCAAAATGCTATTCTGACCTTTGACAAATATACGTGTCAATAGATGGCATTGTGTGTTACAAAATAATTTATTAATTAACGCTTCTTAATATGGGTAGACGGCGCTAAACGTAAACAAAATAAAAGAATAGCCGGCACTACCCATGAAAATCTGTGCAATAAGCGCGTAAAACAAATTACTTACAAAAATAGCTATTTGGTACTCGTCGCGACATCTGGTGTAAGTAATTTGTTACTAAATACCCGACTACGCTGTCTTGTATCGCGATTAGCAGTCCCCTTGAGTTATAGGCCCACGATATAACAAAAAGTTTATTAGCTACAGTTATAAAAAAAATACTTTTATGTGATAGTAAAAAAAGAACAAGCATTTAAAAGAGTAACTATTTGTAGGTTCAAATCTGTAGTGACAATAGTCACTATTTAAATTTCATTATTTTACAAAAAAACTGCGTTTTTACTACTTTTTTACTGTAACATAAAAGAAAATAGGTAGGGGTCATTCATAAATTACTTCACATTAGGTTCGACCGTGTATAATCAGAACTTTTACAATATATACTCTATGAGAGGGGAAGATGAATTAATCTGGGCACCGCCGCATGCGTAAAAACAGTAAATCGCCGTTCTCATGCATGCAGCGACTTGCTGTCGTTACGCACATTTTTTCGGTGGTCCAAAAAATCCCTACGTTTTTTACTCACTACTATTTTACTTTTGCAACAACCGACAGTGAGCTCATTTAGGAATGACACCATAGGCTGTTCCCTTGTTCGAAGCGTGGTTATTCGGTTGACGAGGGAGTAGCAAATTAATTTGGAAAACTAATCGACCAATCGAAGATAACTCCTCTCGAGTATAATCGGTTGTTCGATTTCTCATTAAAGTTCTTAGATTGCAAGGCTCTTCTTAGAATGGTCGAGTAGTACCTAAATTGCAGCTTTATTCGCGCAATTTCGCAAAAATATATGTTTGTATTGTCTAGCCTATAAATGTAAAATAAAAGTTGAAGATTAATCTTTATAATATGAATATTATTTGAAATGTATCACCTGCTCACAATATTACTTTGTCTATCGTATGTTATTAATAATCAATGTTATATAAAATCAGTTTTTATTTATTTTGCCTTTGAATTCACTGTCTAGCTTTTTAATTTTGTTTAAAACTTAGTAATAGCTCAATTTAAAGAAATTGTACCTTTTGCATTTGCTCATTTTAGTCATTTAATTGGAAAATCCCATTTATTATTTAGTTCACATTAAAAATAATTTTAATTATTTTTTTCATATTTTAATAGGAACTGAGAGAAATATATTAACATAGGATCTTTTAATTTTATTTGTATTAAATATTAAACCCCATTAAGAAAAATTTAATGTAAAGTTTGAAGTCTATGTAATTATTGTAAATAGTTTTAGTTTTTGTACAACACGGCTGATAATTTGAATGCTTATATTATATGAGGATAACATGTATGATCCTTAAAATTGAAGAGCATTTAGATAGTCAAGCTAAAAGATACTTAATCTTGTAGACAACAAGAAGCACATTTTCGACTGTAAATACGGAGTTTCAGACGACAATTTATTTTTCTAAATAATCGCGATGCTTGGAGACTCCAACGTTTTGTATAGGATGTTAGAGGATGCCCGCTAGGGTGATACGGAATTTTAACAATAAATATTTCTTTTACACATTGTCGTTTTATTGGTTGTATACATGGACTACAGACGGTAAATGTAGTGTAACAAAAATTATACCTTGGTACTTCTCAAAATATAACATTACCAGTTGTTGGTCTATCTGTACAAGAACAAAGTCCTCTGATATCTCAAAGAAAAGTGTGTCTAAATTTGAATGTCTGCCAGTCAAGTCAGTCTGTTTTTATGAGCATTCAGTCTGCTGGTCAGCCACTGAAGACACAGGGCAGTTCTGACGAGTCGCTGACTCGACAGCATCATGTGACTTTATTTGTCAACTGACAGACCATAGACAACTTCAGTTTTCATGTGCTTTAATCTTGACATGAAGTATGATCTGCAAATTAAAAACTGCAGCCTGTGCAGGGCTATGAGTGTGAACGTTATTAAAAAAAAAATAATAATATTGGTCTTGCTGCGGTAATATTTGATGCGCGTTATTGTTATATGTTATCGAAGTAATCGATGATTTCGCATCAAGTTGAGGAACACACGCGATTTTACTCAAAAATTGACTGGTAAATTTTGATAGAATTTACTGAGACGAGAATCTACAACGACAGAGAACCTACACAGAGAGTATTATAGAAACAAATTGTTTTTTAAAAGTTCCTAATGTTCTTTGACCACAAAGAAGTTATTCAAATAAATAAATTTACGAAACTTAACATCATTTCTTATTTGTCTCAATATATCTGAACATTTTAAATAAATGAATGGAATTGTTGTATTAAGGTATTGCACATTAAAATATTACGATAACACAGATTTAATGTAAGTATCAGAGAATAAGCTAATGTACAATCCTGCCACCGCTGCTTGAAAGGGCGCATCTGACAAAAACTCAAAACCGAGAAAATAATGTTACAGAAATGAAATTGAAAAATATCTACTTTTTTCTTGCAGTAACTTAACACCTTAACTACGTATGAAAAATAAAAATAGTGACAGATTGGCTTTTTTTAATGATCATGGCTGTATACATAACCAAAGTTTTGAAAAAATGTCACATGCGCACTTCTAACGGCGGCGGCAGAACAGGCGACCTTATTGCTAAGTAGCAATTTACCTTAGAATACAAATTTAGTTGAGTTGGAAAGGAGAAAATTCAGGAATTACCTTGCTTTACTGTTGTGGATTTGGAAGAATGTAACAGACTATCGTATTCTTTGTACTCAAACCATAATCATACCTATTTAACAATTAATTGGCATATTAAATCTCAATAGTGATTTTTTCATCAATGAATTAAAAGGAGTATTACATAACAAAACAAATTGTTTTAATGATATATTTAAAACTAAAATCTATCTGTAATTATTTACAACTTACATGCCAATACATTGAAAACAACAATTTAATTATCATGTTTTCTGTCAAATGGATCTGACCACACTTTCATATCTGAAAAAATCAAACAAAAATCATGGGTATTCAATGTTGACATAGGGTTATTTTTTAACTCAACACCTTAGAACACAAAGTGCAAGTATTTCATGTTTTGACAAAATAAAATTAAAAAGTTTTTAAATATGACTAATTATAAACAAGCTAATTATAAACTTACTGCCTGGTTGAATCTGTTCCGGATTTAAATTTCTCCTAGTGACTTTCTGAATTTGTTCTAAAACAAAAAGATTTTACTTAGACCACAATTTGTTAAGATGTTTAATGAGCATACTTAGTGGCAGCTAATGTTGCTTTGTAAGGAAAACTGAGAGGTATCCCTTATGAATGTGCAAAATTTAAGATAAAATACATGATAATAAGGTAGAGTTTGCAATGCACTGGTAAGGTTTTGGTACTGGTAACCAAAGAAGAAACACTGAAAAGTCTATTGTGTTTGTATGCATTCTGTCATTTGACTTACAAATAAATTGACGACGGGTCTAATACAAAAACCACGAAAAAAATGACCCAAGTCAACCTATTTAAACGTAGTGACATGTAAAGGAATATAAAAAAGCTAAAACGTTGAATTTAAATTGTAATGTCATTGCAGTACTGTCTAATTTCGCTTGCTTCGCTGTCAATCGAACAAACGAAGACTAAAGCGTGAATGACGCTCTGTATACGATTTTAACGCCCTATAAGTTCGGACACTTTAGCGCGGACCCGACGTCCGTCGGGTATAATTGTAAGTCAATGCATTCTGTGCTTAATTTTGTTTGCACTGCAATACTCATTTTGGTATGTAGTACGCATACATAGTTCCATATTATGATTGGCACATTCCATACCCAGAGGACACAAAAACTGTTGGAGCCAGGAAAGTCTTTCAGTTCTTTAATGTGCCAATGAACTGCAAGACAACAAGCAGACGGATTTCATTCCGAGTTGTAATTAGTGGTGATCACAATAGATCTATTAATGACCGCAGTGATAAGGGCACAAACCCTGAATGAAGCCACCCTAAAAGTAATAATAATCTCATTCGGTCCCTGTTTTCAGCCATTAATAAAAATATGTTTCTTCTTATACAATTATCAAATGACAGTATGAACAAGTTGTGCGCCTGGTGGTAAGCTACATGCCTAACAGTTGTGGTGCCAGAGCTTTAAATCGCAAAGATCTGAAGGCCACTGCCACTAAGCCCCTCACCATGAGACATAAAGCTGATAAGTGCCATACCCCTGCAATTTCACCAGCACACTGCAGCAGCAGTTCATAGTAAGGCCCCTTCAAGACCAGGGGCCTTACCATGAACTTTTAATATGATTCAGTTTAGGACTTAAAATAAATTGTTGCGAGACAGCGCTACATGAAATGTATATCACCATTCCGCTTTTTTGTCGTTACGTACCTATATTGAACTGTAATAAGAGTTCATGGTAAGGCCCCAGTAGGGCCGACACGATAAGGCGCGACTTGAGCGAGAGCAACATAAAGCGTGAGATACTGCTATTCTCGCATAGAGATCACGCGCCCTATGTTGCTCTCGTGCAAGTCGCGCCATTGCGCTAGCCTTGCAGAACACAGTTGCATTGTGCTAGCCCTACACAACAAAGTAACGTTCACATTATTACTTGGCAGCAGAAACACGTATGATAGCAGAACTTCCCTGGATGAACTCTTTCATAAGAAGCTCTAATACTATACTTCGTTTCAATCCATTTTGAACGAAAAGTAAACAAACAAGTCACTGACCCCCCCATAGACGGTTTAATTATGGCCAACTGCAATGCCAACTACAAATTGATTAATTAATTGAATGAATCAATGTGTTCAATTGAGTCATAGTAGTAGTTTTCCTTACAGAACCTATATAAGCATATTTAAAACTTTTGAATTCTTAACTCTAAATCTTCCTTCAAACCCTACACTTAGATACTCGTTCGATTGCAATTAAAATATTAAATTTACTAATTGATTATAAAAACTTTAATTGTATGAACCGAATGTTTTTTTTTCGTACAGCACTATGTAACCATAGACAAGTCATAGTTGTATAGTTGAAAAATAACCTCACTTTTGGACTACCACTTTTCAAATACTATTTCACATTTACATATACTATTTCACAATGCCGTTCAAATGAATATTGTTGGAAAAAGTGACGAGATATCAAGCCGAAATCTTCGAAATATACGTGAAAGTGTTACTTATTCGATTTATTGAGCTTTAGAATTTTTTTAGAAACTTTGTTCAAAATGGATTGGAACAGACTTTAGCACTGTAGACTGACATTTGAAATGGATTAGTATTTGTGTTTATTTCCTTTCCTCATCTTTTTCTTAGTAGGTACACAAATTCAGAGTCTGCGCTGTCATAATGTCATAACACAGATATTATTGTAGAGGTTAGAGGTCTAAATCAAGTTTATCTAATATTTCAATTCTCCATGACTTTGTAAAGCCTCGAAGTTTTAGCAAGACTATGTGATGATACAGTTGCAATAACAAAGACATAAACATCTTAAATAATCATTTAGTCCGTTGTCACGTAAAAATAATACTTACTGTACTGCGACGCATCTAACATCGGACTGATCGCAATGGGATACATAGTGAGTCCAATAAAACCAACGAAACCTCCGATAAATGTGGCATAACGCCAACCTTTGAAAAACACCATTATTTATTATTTAATAGCGTGATTTCATTGATCTTTTCAGACCAATAATTTTTGAAAATAAACACAGCTGAGGACTGTCAACGTGACGTTAGCGTCTAGAAAATTTAGAAATATCGATCTATGTTCTCAATTACATATTATTTAATTAATTTACATAACAGTTTTTTTTTGTTTTCATAATCGTATGCATGTTGTGTGTGGTGTGTGCCTGAATTTTTGAGATACTGATTGATATTATATATTTGTATTTTTTTCACTGATCTGATTTAATGTATAGAGAAAAAGAGTTTATAAATAAGTACAGGTGCAGTGATAAAAAAACCACTGACTTACAGATGAGCATATGTACTGTATAATAGAAATTAAAAAAATCGCTTTTTTTTCAACTACTTAACAAATACATATTTTTTAAATTTTATTTCAGTAATGTGTTGTATTACTGAATTAGCACAGGAAAAAATGGGACAGTGATTTTTTTTATTATATTGTATTCACCTGTATTGTATTGTATTCACTCAACTAAGCTACATAGATACATTATGTAGTTTAGTTGAGTGAATGGTTGTCTCCTTTGTATTAATTCCGGGCGTTGAGCCTGCATTACTGAATGTGTTCATTTAACGCGCAATTTCATTAGATCTATTAAATTGTTACTGCGTAAATGCTACCTTCTGTTATTGGATTACAATTCTGTAACCCCAATGAAGAACGCTGTAAGTTAAAAAGTCGTGTTCTAAGAAAATTCCTTTGAGAAGTTTGTAATTTTGGATGTGTGTAAGTTTTTTGTTACGTACCTGCTTTAGTTTTGAAGTTTTTTTCTTAGAAGGAATTTCAGTGTCAACAGTGTGGTTTATCAATTATTTACATTTAACAGGATTCATTAGTCATAATTTAGGTACATATTCTTAGCAGAAAGGGATTATGTAACATTATAATAATAATAATAATAATAACGCACACACTCAACATAGCCCCGCACTAGGGAAACCATGTGTCGCGGTTGCCATGGACACATATAGACAACCACAAATTACACCCTAACTCACGAGAGAAATAAATGTAGGCCATACAAATATTTCTCCCGGCCCGGGAATCGAACCTGGGACCTCTGCATGGCAGTCCGGCATGGTAGGTAACCGTTCGGCCACGGAGGCAGTTATTGTCACTTTAATACAATATATCTGTAGGTAGGTACCTAAGTACTGTACCTAATTGAATATGTTCAAAGATATTTAATTATAATACAAAAAAATAATAAAAACAAAATATAATAAAAAACCAACCTGAAAAGTTCAAGCCAAGTCTTATTATTTAGGAATAATCCTATAGTTTGTCACCCTTAGGTCTATACTACACGGGCGGTTCTCCCGCCGCGGGAATCCGCTCGACAAAGCTCCCGCAAACCAGCAAACTACACGGGACGCGGTTTACCGCTGTGTTTTGTGTTCATTTCAAGATGAATCCGCCAATGATAACTGCGCTTGCAGCTCTTATATTATTAGAATTATTAAAAAACAAAGTAAACCGCAATGTTTGGGTGGAACCAGTGTTAAGTAACCGTTTAACTTCGGGAATATTTCATTCAATGTTTAGTGCACACCGTGATAACCCTCATAAGTTTTTCTCTTACTATAGAATGTCTGTGAACTCATTTGATGAACTTCTATCAATTATAAGCCAACGTATTAAGAAACAGGATACAAATATGCGGAGATCCATCACACCTGCGGAACGTTTGGCTGTAACTCTCAGGTAAATAAAATAATAATATTTTTATTGGGGTAAGTAATTCAGAACATTAAAATAATCATCATTTTCCGTTGATGTGTCCGAAGCAGTATCGTTTTGTGGCGATGCGACACTAGTCATTGGAGTTAATGTGTCCTCGTGATATGCTCTAGACCCAGAGCTCCCAGATGGCTCCTGGTTCCTATGGTAAAGAAACTCAGACAAGTTGCTAGGAATACTGCGGTTTCTTTCGTTTCTTTGTATATTTCTGAATAAATTCGTAATTTCATATCTAGTTTCCATAGCCAAATCAGGAGTCATGGAATCCATAATGGGTACAAAGGACATAAGAAATGCTCGATTTCCTTTTGCGTCACTATCTTTATTTAACTTTTGTAATTGTAAACTTTCGTTCAAAATTTTTGTTATTTGAGGAATTTGGGTACTTTCCATTTGTTTCTTTTTTTTGGTAAGAACTCGGTTTTGTCGCGGTGGTCTCATCAAATTATCTTCTTCAAAATCCTGATTTTGTGATGAATTCGAAGGTATTGGAGATACGTTGGACTCACGTTCTTCTGCAGTACTGACGCTAGGGCGTAAAAAGGACAACAACTCATAATAAATATATCGTTTTTTTTTTGGAGCCGATTGTCCCGACACTGTGGTTGTTTCTAAATTTACTTCTTTTTTATAACTATCTCTTATATTCTTCCACTTCTTCATTAGGTCCTTTACTGCAAAAAAGAAATGTATTATTAATGTGGCATTTATTTATTTTTCAGATATTTGGCTTCGGGAGCAACTTTCACTGATTTGGAGTACGATTTTCAAATTTCTCGAAAAACTATACCATTAATTGTAAAAGAAACCTGTCAAGCTATTTGTCAAGAATCAGCACCTTTAGAGATGCCAAAACCAAATAAGGAAAAATGGATAAATATTGCTGAGAAATTTTACAAAGAAGCGAACTTTCCTAATTGCGTTGGCGCCATGTCGAACATTTTGACGCGGCACTAGCCACGCAAGCGCAGACACGACGAGCGAGCGAGAAGGTCCCGCGCAGAATGACGCAATAGCGGATAACCGCCCGTGTAGTTTTAAATGGCGGTTAACAGCGGCGGTTTGACGCTGCATGCGGCGGTCGAATTTCTCCCGCCTACAAACCGCGGCGGGAAACCGCGCAGTGTAGTTTGTAGCATACAATGTCCATATATAATTGAGTCTAGTGCGGTTCAGAAGCGGATTCCCGCGGCGGGAGAACCGCCCGTGTAGTATAGACCTTAAAGGTGAAATAATTTTAAACTTTTTTTTTCAAATTTAAAGGTTTATTAATTTAAATGAGACTAGTATTCAGGGAGGTTCCAACAAAACAAGATTCATCAAAATTAGTTCACAAATAGAAAAAAAAATACAGACGAATTGAGAACCTCCTCGGTTAAAAAGCTATAAACACGTGGCAATGTCATTGTTGTCTATTTTTGAAATAAAAGCTCTGGCTTTAGTCACATGTCTTTTTTTTTAAATAAGATCATCGGGTACTTTACAAGTAATTTTATTTGAATTCGGTTGCGCGTCTAATCGCGAAAAGCCATCAATAAAGAAAAAAAGTACCGGTCATTCGGTGTTCTCAGCCTAATTTTCTAGCGTAATGTACAATAACATTAAAATTAGAACAACTTTAAGCTTAACCTTAGAGGATGGAAAAACAAATTAACTATCAATCAATGTCTAAATGACATTAGAATAGACAAAGTAGTTTTCGAGATTTATTAATAGGGATAATAGGGATCACAGGACATTGGCGAAATCGCCATTTTTTTGTATAATTTTTATAATAATATTAAACTACCGTACATAGTTATTTTTACTTGACATTGACAAAATCATTGATTATTTCGATGGGGCCATAACATTTAAAAGAAGAAGAAGATAGATTTATTAAGAAACAAACATTTTATGGAAACGGTAATTAAATCTAATTACCGTTTCCATAAAATATTCGTGGCAGTTGGTGTTGGACAATAAATTATGCCTTGACAGGAGATTCAGGGAAATATTTCCGCAGTTTGAGATTAGGCCCGAAAACAGAGATTCCCAAAGGTTCTTATGGAGAAATAGTCCCAAGTTACCACTTCAGGAGTTCCGAATGTCCTCCATGATATTTGGCGCGGCATCCAGTCCGTGCACTGATTTATGGGTTAAGAATAAGAACGCTAACCAATTTCAGTCGCAATACCCAGATGCTGTAAAGTCCACCATTGAAGATCATTACATCGATGATTTTTTGGGAAGCTTTGACAGTACGGGTAAAGCCGCTCAACGAGCATCAGCAATACCATATATAAACAGGCATGTTTTGAAATGCGGTCATGGGTATCGAACGATAGGGAAGCTTTAGTCTTGATTCCCGCTGACTTACATGCGGCAGATGTCACCGAAGTAAGTTTAGGCCCTGCCTCTCCTTAGGCCTTACGTGGAACGTCCGTGAAGATAACTTGCACTTTTTAAAGTCTGTTCCGAAAGCACCAACTAAATTCACAAAGCATTCGGTTTTGTCTTTATTGATGTCCATTTACGATCATAAATAAAGAAAAGGGATCCCTTAGGATTTTTAATACGTGTGATTACGAAAGTTCGTGTACTTTTTCAGAATACATGGAAACTAGGTATTGACTGGGACCATATTTTATCGTGTTTGTTAACCGAAACCTGGAAAAGTAGGTTTCTCAAAATTGAAAGGTTATGCAATAGTTCCATTCCTCGTTGTTACATGTACAGTACCGAGCATATCAAAAACGTTCAACTTCACGTTTTCGCCGTCTCCACTGGATTGAAAGATTGGAGCTGCAAGCTGCCCTTATTGCCTCGTGTTATGGCGCATACGTGACTGACGCGCATAGGCGAAAGCCCAAGCAAACCTTTTACTGGACGGATTCGTTGACCATCTTAAAAATGGCTCCGTAACGATGCCTGCGCATTTAAAGCATATGTTTCATTTCGTGTGGGAGAGATGGCTGAAACGACCAATATTCAAAATTGGAGATACGCCCCTAGAGCTTTAAATGTCGCCGACGACGCTACGCGGGATAATTGCAAGTTTTCTATTTCATTACGATGGTTCACTGGCCTACCTTTTCTTTTGTACCCACACTCTGACTGGCCATGTGAACCAGCGTGTAATGTCCCTCCAGTGTCCGACGAATTGAAGCGTGATTCGGAATCGGTGAGACTCTTGATAGCCGAACAACGTCAATTACCTTCACTGGTAGTTGCGGACCACCAGCGTTTTAGTCGGTGGCTACGTCTGCTTCGCGCCACAGCTCGAATACATCAGTGTGTTCGAGTTTTTCGGTCAATTTAACATCCAAATTCAAAATTTCCTCACGATTCTCTTCGGGATAATCACAACTTCTTATTTCTTACCTTAGCGGATCTCAACTTGCAGAGATCCAAATGTTTCGAAAGATACAACTAGATTCGTTTCCCAATGAATTGACTCGCGTTCACGCAGCGCGTCCTGTTTGGAATGATAACAGACTTAAGAACATTTTGCTTTTGCTCGGAGAAGATGGGCTCCTTGGGCTTTCTGGTCGAACCGCTGCTGCTAAGGTCATAGAACCCGACCAAATCGTGCTAGATGGCAAACATAGGATCACCAGGCTACTCTTGCACTTTGGTCACGTTAGATTCGCTCATAGGAACAAGTAGTTGGTGGTTAATGAATTACGCCGGAGGTTCTACATTCTTGGCCTAAGACCAGCCGTCAAAGGAACGTCCCAGAAATGCCAGATATGCCGCAACCGAAAGGCCAAGCTCATGTCACCACCCATCGGAGATCTACCGGATGCCAGAATGACACATCACCAGCGTCCTGAAGCCGAATACATCTTAAACGCTAGACCTCTCACCCATGTTTCAGTCGACTTGGATTCAGAGCACGCTATAACTTCATTCACCGTTTTAATTGGCACCTCCAGCAATGAGCCGGTAATTAAGAAGTTCGATGATGCAGATCTCCACAGACGCGCCAATTGGAGAAAAGCGCAGAGACTCGCAGATCACTTTTGGCAACGTTTGGTAAAAGAATGTCTGCCGACTCTAACCCCCAGAAAAAGGCTGCCTGAACCTCAAAATTTGAAAGTTGGTGTTCTTGTTTTTATAGCTGACGGGACACTTCCTAGAAACTTTTGGCCACAAGGACGAGTAGCAGCGGTGCATCCTGGCAAGGACGGTTTAATACGAGTTGTAGATGTCGCCACGAAAGGCGTGTTGCGCCGGCCTACTCGTAAAGTAGCGCTGCTGGTCGCCGGTCAATAGCAATGGGTGCTCCATTTTCTTCACCGTTCTTTTGACCATTAAATTCGACATTCTTGTTCCATTTTTGTAATTGACTGTACCCTTCAAAAATGAAATAAATAAGTGAGTGCGAATTTTGCAGCGCGCAGCGACTAGAACCGGGTTTTAATTTTCCTCATCCTCAACAACTGGATTTGATTTTTTTAGACATGGCACTGAAGCGAATGACCACCCATATTGTTACCAGTCACAAATATTACACAAAAGTTATATGAAACGTCACACTATTCGTTTAAATACCATGCAAGATCTCGTTTTTTAAGATTAAATTTGTTAATTTGGCTAAATAATTGTTCGTTCATGTTTAGGAGTCCATGATTGGAAACCGTCCATGACGGGGTGTCCATAATTGGGCTGTCCATATAAGGATACTGAAACAAATTGATACGATTAAAGAACTTTCAACCGTTATTTGAAGACTTTTAATCAATTAAACCTTTCTTCGAGTTCCACAGGATAAATCATTCAAAATGAAAAATCTAAAACAAAAAGTAAATCCTTAACCCGTCCATGATTGGGTCCACTACTGACGCCTTAGCCTGTCCCGAACCGAAAAATTGTACTGTTTACATTGTTGTATATTAAAGTATAAGATCATTGGTTTACAATAATTAATTGTAATATATGGACGGAAGTTTAATGTTTTAAAAATATGGATTGAAGTTGGTAATTCTTTACGATTAAAATACGACTTAAAATTAAAGTGTGACATTCGAAATTAAGTAGGTATACTTAAGTATTAAGGTATCCATGTAAATCCATATAGCAGCTAAAGCAGGGTGGATTTACACAGAAAGATGCATCATTTCATATGACGATTGTTAAATAACACAAAAAGTTGAGTTAGCATGTTTTTCACTGAGAGTACAGAAATGATTAATTTTTGTTTATCAACCTTAAGGTCATTTAGGTTTAGATCACAATGACTCAATCACTGCAGACGGACATAAACATTCTCGATGACTCAGTATATTATTCTGATTTATGTTATTTATTAAGTAATACTTAGTATATTTATTTATCAATAGCTACGTATTTTAAGTACCTAAAATACTTTATTAGCGTTCCAAAAATAGCCGTGACATACAGAAGGATAACGACGTCACATTATAAATGTGACATCGGTGAAATTACAGGCACATGCGACGCGTCAAGTTATGCCTCAGGGTGATCACAGAGTGAAGGTTAAAGCTCTGAATGGCACTGCAACTGTGATGGATAGGCGTGTCGCTTACCACCAGGCGCACGACTTGTTCGTCCCGTCACTTAGCATGTTATAAAAAAACTTTCTTTTTATGCCTTTCAAGTTAAAAAATAGCTCTAATATGATGATAACTAAGTCAGAAATAACACTACTGAAACAAAAATATTTACCTTTTTTACTTCCCACACATCGTACCTGTCGTAGCTGGAAACGCGGAATGTTGAATAATTTGTTCGGAATGTCGTTAAGGGTGTAGTATGAAACAGGGCCAAGAGCACGTCAACTTGACTTTAAGATTTGAATTATTACGTTTGCGATAAGATCGGTTCAAAGTGTCAAGCTTGACGCATAACTGTAGCACAAACACAATAGGATTATGTGCGTGTTGTCTAATTTGTGCCGTCCTTTTGTTCTAGGGATCAACTTAAACAAAAATCTCTTCGATATTATATGATATATGTTCCCTCTGACTCACCAAACTAATTTTCTATGTACCTACACTCCCTCCATGTTTATGAAACTTAACAAACACGTAACGGACACTGGCAGAATTGAGACAATAAATTAGTCTCACAAGTCATTCATTCCTAAAAAAAAGGATTATATGGCCGTTTCCTGCTCCTACTGGTAGGAGCACGAGGACTAATATGTCGTATGTTCCTACTGGTAGGACCAAAAGGCTAAATATGTCCTCGTGCTCCTACTAATGTACTCTCACCTACATTTCTATGTAATGGGTATTGGTACAAAATGGAAACCCAAAACAAAAGTTTTTATTTTCCTATAGGTACAGATCAACTAGTTAAATTTCGTAAACAAAATTAATTTTATGTACAAAACGATTTTTTTCTTAAATTTTATTGGGTTCGCGATACCAAACAATGCCTATAATCACTTGCAGTCAAGAAGTATCTACCTATGACTGAACTACATAAAAATACAGGTGTTGCAAATGGTCCATTATTACATTGGAATATGAAAGTATTCACGGCTTTGTAGCCAAAAATAAAGCATTTTAATCAACTTAGGTAATGTTAAGATTTGCGTCGTATTAGGCACATAGATTATGAATATGGGAGCTAGCTACCTCGATTGGTACAGCTGGAATTATTTAAACCATCTTCTGTATAATCAGTATGCAGAGTACTAAACAACCGACCTCAAAAGTCCTTCATCCACTAGTTTGCTACCCTTAGAGGTGGAATATTTTCATCGACTTTAAATGGGACCACTTCTGGGGTACCCTCTTTCCAACAAAAAAATAACCATCAAAATCGGTTCATAAATGCCGTTATAGCGTAACATACTGTATAAAAAAAAACATAGTCGAATTGAGAACCTCCTCCTTTTTTGAAGTCGGTTAAAAGTTGCACCCGACATCATTTAAATAGCAGTCTAAAAAAATGTCAGTGTTTATGTAACTTCATGTATGGCTGATTGGTACCACGGTAGGCATGGAGGGGGTATACCAAAAGGTATAAATCTGTCAATATTTTTTCCTGAGTACCTACTATTTAATTAATTTTGTCCTAAAAGGTAGGTACCTACCTTACAGCATTAGGACAGAATTATGTTTCTATGAGACAGTTTATAATAGTAGTAATCGCGTAAACCCTCGCCTGGGAGGAGACCCGTGTCCAGCAGTGGGATGTATAAATGGATTGATTGGATGATAAAGATGATGTGTATGTGTATGTTTTAGTGAGTCATCTTACATTATATTTAACTACATGGTAACTTATGTTTGAATGTAAAAGAGTACGGAGGCATGTAAATATTTAATTTGGTCCTTTCAATGTTCAGCAATTGCAAAAAAAAAACTTCTAAATAGCGGATCACAGTCCAGAGATATACCCACCTACAAAGCGTCAATATTCTTTGTTGAAAATTATTGTCTTTGACACTATTTTACACCTTCGCTACTAGTTCTACTGATTAGTTCTATCAAATTATATTTCAATAATAATTTAACTGGTGGGAAAAATTGTTCCACGTAGTGTTCAAATTTGTTTGTTGCTAAGGGAACATTCATTGCAAATGTCAATATTGCATCACCGTTGTTGTAATTGAGGCAATATTATGTTTGGGAGTGAGAAATTAAAACAGAAAAAGTAATAAATAAAAAACAATAATAAATTTGTTATTATAAGTGCTCATTTACACTACAGAGATACTTAATAGAGATACAGGAAATAGATTTGAGTGGATCAGAAATAATTTTATTACCTACCTAGCTGACGTTGGATTAATTTAATTATAATAACAATAATAATAACGCACACACTCAACATAACTAAAATATAATAACATCATTAAATGTTTATTTATTACGTTATGTAATTAACACAACTTATAATTACAACCTAAATCTAAAGTCCTTATTATAATTAGATTTATTTTACTTGACATAAGCAGGGTGTTTGGCAGATGGATTAAGTAGAAGTTTTTAAAATAAAGCTAATTTCAAAATCATTATTAGTTTTTGTTTAAATGAATTTAAAAGTTGATATTTGTAATAGTTACTTTTATTTTTATTTCTTTTTAACTTTAAAAGCTCATAAGTAATTTGTTGGAGAATATTTGTTGGAAATTACGATTTATTTACTAAACACAAAATTTACTACGATATACAGACGAGATGTCGTGTAATTAATGAAAATAAAAAAATTACCGTGATACCTAGGACATGGGGTAAAACCTAGCAAATTACCCCCCAAACTTACAAAAAATTTTGTCGGCATCTACCAAACACCTGTATATTATTTGAGTGCATATATACCAGTATCTTAGATACTGGATACCTACTTCACGCCTATGCAACACGAAGACAAAGTAGGTACTTTTAAATATATTGTAGTCCAAGAATATCTTGCTTTAAATAAGTAACACTGCATTCAAAGACTTTTAAAAAGTTGCTTGCCTCATCTGTGAATCAAACAAACCAACAATGTGAAAAAAAAACAAAAAATTTTATGATGCCGATCGAAATAGGTATTTGCAATTGATTTATCAATATAATCTAATCCTTCATCTTGTATGCAAATTCGCAATTTGTCAAATTGTTTCTTGTTTATTAAATCTTTCACGTATACCCGGAAAAAGAAACCTAATAGTTTCGGGTCTGGAGATCTCGCCGTTTATCTAATTGGTCAATTTGTACCGAACCAGGAAGGAAAACATTGATTAAGAGACTCGACTGTTCTTAGACTGTTATGAGCCGGAGGCCCACCATGAAGTATAAATAGTATTACTTTAAATTAAGGTACTGTATTCCTTGAAAGGTAGTTATTGTAATTATTGACCCCTCGATTGGCATCATAAAAATACAGGTTTTTTTTTTCACAATTGGTCGGTTTCATGCCCAGATGAGGCAAGCAACTCTTTAAAAGTCTTTGAATGCAGTGTACTTACATTTAAAATTCAAATAATATCTTCATGGAGAAAAATATGTTACCTACAATGTTTAAAGTACCTACTTACCGTCCGTGTCGCATAGTCATGAGAAGCCTGTATATTATAATGTTTATACTAAATGTGTGAATACTGAAATGTTCACATTTGGTTGTTTTCCTACTCACATATTGGTACAGATTTCAATAATTTCACACATGCATGAAGTTTCAAACAACGCCATAACAGACGTAAGTATAGTTGAAGAAATATTATTTGCACGATGAATGTTATCTTTTGGAATGATTTATACTTTCTATTACAATAGGGTAATAAAACATTTCACTCTTCTTTTACTTAAAACGTACGTGGACTTAATGATCATGGTCCATCGTACGAGTCATGGGTGCGTTAAATGCTTTTGCTGAATTCTAGTTTTGACTTATTTACTCATCACGCTATTTTTTTTTCATTTTTTAAAACTTCGTAAAATACCGACTGCCGACTCTTTTCTTACAAAGTTAGTTTCGCATAAAGATTATGAAGTTTAGAATTAAGGCCAATGCGTAAAAGTGTTTAAACTAGTTGCTTGCACTATATACAGATGACACGTGCATTACCGAGACGGCACACTCTTTTGCCCTTTTGTACTCAAAAGATGAAGCGATAGACGAATCGGTGCAAACAATATTTCGCCAACTATACCTATATAGGTAATACAACAGCTAACCATTCGACTTTTAGATAACAGTGTTAGTTAACAATTTCATTTACACCGTAGTGACTAATTCCCTCTTCCATTAAATGCAGGAGTTTGTTGTAAACAAGAACAGGAGCGTCGATTGCCCACAGAAAGTCTACATGATTAAACTCTTTTAAAGGCACTATGTAATGCTCGATAGGATTAGCGAGTTGCACGAACAGACGCGTCACATCTACGTCGCCAGATAGCCAATCGTTCTCGGCGCTCAGCAGCGCTATGGGTAACGTTACCTTTTTCATTTCATACTCTGGAGGCTTTAAAGTTCCATATTGTCTCATATTCCCCATTGGTCCATAATCGTATTGCTGGAAACGCCCATTATTGTGAATTTCTTGTGCATAATGAATAAGTGTCCTTGTAGAAGCTCCCGCGGGTTCATGCGCCAGTATTATTGGTAGTAACGTCCGGTTAAATTGTTTTTCATCAAAACCGCACAGGTAGAATATAGCATTCTCGCATATCGCTTCTTCATAAGGGCTTATTTCACAAGCTATTCTCGCGAAAATTTTTATTAATTCACTTTGCGGCAAGAATTCGTTCTGCCCTAAAATTTTCATCATTAATTCAATGCTATTAGAAATCTTTGCCAAGTATCTAATTGGGCTTCTGACATCCGACATATAGGCCACAGGCGCTAAAGCGAAGCCAGCTCTCAAAATTTTATTATACTGCTCTTTGGTAGACAGCAGACTAAAAAGGATCGTTGTACCCATAGAGTGACCGATGTAGTTTATTTTAATATCCCAACCTTTTAAGTACATGATGTGGTCGATGACAGCTGGCAGGTCGTGCTGCGCAATGTCATGGAAAGTAAAGTTCCAAAATGCAAAAGAATCGGTAGATAAAGACACGTGAGATCTAGAATATGTGTTACCTCTAGCGTTGGCCAGCCATACATCGTACCCTGCGTCAGATAAAATGTAAGCGAGCGCTTTTTTCGGTCCAGTAATAATCCAATCTGCAGAGCTTCCGAGCAGGCCATGATGGAGCAGAACAGTTTTCTCTGGTAATTTCTTAGGGTTTTTTTTCGAAAAAGGTATTCTGTGAACTGTTAGGAAATAGCCGTCATCTGTCAGAACAGTGTGTGTTTCTACACTGTATCCATGAAAGACGATAAGTTGCGGAGTGGTAAAGTGGATATAAGGATCTTCCGAACTTCTTTTTACAGTTCTCTCCGGGGCTGGACTTGATGTAGTTGCAGTTGTTGTTTCTTGTAGAGGAGACTGTGTGTCTCTAGACTCTAGGAGGTATATTCTTTCTTCTTCAAGAGATGGTTTTTCTTCTAGAAGAGATTTTGTTTCTTGTATTATATATGGTGCTTCTTTTACTAAAGTTTTCTTAGAAGTGACAGGTCCTTGAAATATTTTTGTAACTTTTCCGGATTCTTTTGGGCTTTTTGATACTCGACTATATTCATTCATTTCCCGCGCAAATTTTTCTTTACTTAGGGTATAATTTGGTGGAGTTGAAGTGTCTGAATCGTTGAAATACGCCAATATTTTGGTTCGTATATTATAGCCGATAGTTCTTAAATTGTGTCTGACTATATCTATTACATTAGACAGTTTAGGTATCCAGTCTTGTTCGCACTGGGCGGTTTGTATGATGAGGAATGTAATTATGACGAAAACCGGGAGCTTCATGGTCGTGTTATCGCGACGCGGGTTCTCGAGTGACTGTAAAACCAGTTCGCTTGACGCATCGTCGGAAGTTCATGATGGTGCGCGGGGGTCAGTGGTATTATTGTAGAGCATGAGTCATTATTGAATTCTGCGCATGTGTGAAATCAACAGTGACAAAAATTATTAAACAAGAGCACGCTTCTTTAACAGTTTTATACGATAGTATTATTACAATGCAATAGATTTAGTAACCACTACATGCCATTTGTTATTAAATAATACTTTACGATGTGCTATAACATATTCATTAATACAATAGGCCCACTTGGTCGCACAGTCTGGAGAAGTTATCTATTTTCCATTTGCTTAGTTCTATTTCTAGATCGTCAGTTCGTAATTTATCGTAATCGTTTTGAGCTGAAAATAAAATTAATATTCTTAAGATATGTATTAAAATTTTGCTATATTTATTTTTAAAATAAATGTAAGTCAAATAATAGATCTATTATCACCGGTATCAATTACACGGGTGATTTTATATTTTACCTACTTACTTACTATAAGTCATATAGTAAGTAAGTAGGTAAAATATAAAATATATTATGGTTATGTTTATAAATTATAACCCTTTAAACTGAACACGTTGAATGCTATATAAATTTGTGCATTTTTTCATTGAAGCCATGGGGGACAACCTATGATTCCATTTGGGCCGGGGGGACAGCATGTAATCACGAGGTCGACGCATTTTTAAAAGATATATTGAGCCGACGACGGTCACAAAATCGAACAAATTTGTACGTAAAGTGACTTAGCGACACTGTAGTCAAATTAGTTCTAAGAAATATATTCAATTTTAAATTATATAAACAATTTGTAGAATTGCAATTATGAATGCATCTATGAATCCATACTTTAACTAGAATTTTTTATAATAAAAACAGCAGGTTGTGCGCCTGATGGTAAGCTACACGTCTGCCCATAACAGTTGTAGTGCCACTCAGAGCTTTAAATCACAAAAACCTGAGGGGCAGTGCGCCCGTCACACAGAGGCATAAGTTGATAAGTCCCATGTGTCTATAGTTTAATATGTGATTTTTATTCTTACATAATATATACGTATCCATTTATGAATGAGAATAATATTTATTGGTACCAATCAGAACTTTATGAACATTCAAATCGTATTTTTTCAATTCCACAATTTTGAGTTACGTTACGACACTAAGGGTCGAATTTTAGAACTCTATTGAGTATGGTTTAAAGCACTCGAAATCATACTCAAGTCCCTGCCATTAGGGTCGTATTTCCAGTGCTTGTGTTTCCAGTGCAATCCTGACTTGAGCATTGAGTAGAGTTCTAGAATACGACCCTAAGTGCAAAATGTAATTCTCAATTAAACATTATGTAGTGTCAGATGAATAGGTATGTACTTACAATAAACAGGAAACCAACCACTTAATTCACATAACCCGACGTAGAATGTAGTCAATATTTTCGGTTTAGGGCTACTTTTTCTAGGCCAAATGATTATTCTTATTATTTCCAAATTTTGTTCACCCGGTACCAAGTTACTGCCTCGAGTTATAAAAATATTATGAGCTATGCAATTCTTCAATAAATGTTCTATAAGCTTGTAGATTTCTTTAGATATGCCGTTTATGGATTGAGGTGACGGAACTTCGAAGCAAAATGCTGGTATAGGGTACGTTTCATCGAATGCATAAAGGGGACCTTTGATTTGTGTGCATTTCTGAAAATAATGACAAATGTATGAGAGAAAGGCTTATCTTTAGCCTAAGCACCTTTCTACTCTAAGATTCCCATGCCCGTTCGTTAGTTGTATTAAAGTTGATATAGTCATTATAGTTTTCTAAGTCCAAGTACACCATCCATTTGCAATAAAAGTTTGTAAGCAAACATGTCCATTTAAATATCATATTAATATTAAAATAGTTGCCAATAGTTCTCCGCAATGTACATCGTATCTACCTATAGATTACGTTGGTATTTTGTATTCTATTTCGGAACAGTACTTAATACGATTGTTTCCGTATTTTTATATACACAGTTTTCGGTAGCTTAGTGACTAATAAAAAAAATAGCCCAGTAATAATATATATTTTAATATAATATTTTATATTTACTGTAGTTAAAGTATAGCAGACATTTCATTTATGAAAGTAGACTAAAAAAGTACTATTTTAATGGTCGGAGACAGTTCCTTTTGCACTAGCAAAGCCGCGTATGTCGCATTGGTAAAAGTCGCGTAGGTATCTAAGTACACAAAACCAAAATTCATTGAAGGGTTTTGGTAATGTTATTACTTTGTTGTTTCAATTGGTACGACTTTCATTTTTACACAGTACCTAAGCATTAATAATATGTTGGCTAGGCTGCTAATAATAGATTCCCGTAAATCTTGTTAATTTACTTGCTTTACGACGTTTACACGGATTTGATTGAGCCGCTAATTTACCGAAGTAGAAATTGCTAAGGCTGTCATTCCCTGCCTGCAGATTTGTTCCCTGAACGTTATAACTTGGACCTTTTCAAGGCTAGAGTGAATAGGCATTATGTTGCATGCTACATCGTCGCTTTCCATCAGGTGAGATGGAGGTCAAATGCGCACTTACTTTTTATAAAAAATACAAAAAAGAAATGCGGATGTCGTTTAGCCACTAACTTACCGAAGTGGAAACTCATACCGTATGTTCCGTGGTATTGAAATCAAAGGCACAAAATAATGCAAGGTAATTATTTCAATTATCACATCAACGAGAAAATGCCATATTGTTATTCATCGATTTCTGGATTTCTGTTAGTCAATCGCAATTGGCGTTAAGAAGGTTCCCAATCATATAACTACGTGTACTAGCTAGCATGCGAAACTCAAATTGGCTACATGCAGATACGCGGAATTATCCAATGCTAGTTACGCGGAATTGCACTATCACCGACGTAATAAAATTTACTATAGTAATTAAAAAAAAAATTGTTTCGTATAATAATTTGAATTTTTTTATATCAAGTGCGGGACGAACAAGTCGTGCGCTTGATGGTAAGCTACACGCCTGTCCATAACAGTTGCAGTGCCACTCAGAGCTTTAAATCGCAAAGTTTTGAGGGGCACTGCCACTGCGCCCGTCACCTTGAGACGTAAGTTGACAAGTCCCATGTGCCTAAAATTTCACCAGCACCCTTACCCTTCAAAACCGGAACACAATAATCCGGACATTACTGCTTGGCGGCAGAAACAGGTAAGGTGGCAGTAGGTACTAACCTGGACGAATTCTTTCACAAGGAGCTCTACTGCTACTAAATGCAGGCGTAAGTAGGTATAATAAATTTTTTTACAAGTAATTATTGTTGAAGATTATTTACAGTATAAATAAAAAACTTTATACTATAATACAAGTAAATAATAAGTATAAAAGAAATACTTACAATATTTTCAACAGGCAAGTCATGATTTTCCAAAAATAAATGATAATGCAAATGGTTCACTGAAGCCATTGCGCATAAACTGTTAAATCCAATTCTTAAATTGCTGCAAATCAAATTAACTATATTGAATGTGAACAAAGAGCAGTGGGCAAGGGTTCATAGAACAGGTTTTCCATGGCACAGCCATGTTGTCTATAAATATCCAATCTTCCCACTTCTTTAAACATGAGAACTAAGTCAAATACATACGGTCTCAACTTTGTATTATACTCACCGATCCTGCGCCAAAAACATAACTTCTAACACCAACCGGAGACTGTCCTCAGTGACCCATTGGGGCAAATTATTGTTTACGGACGGACATAGTAAGCTGTGATACCTTGTTATGGGGCTCACATTGACTATTAATTTGTGTGTGTTTGAATCTAAAAATATAGAAACAAACTGTACAAGGAAAATTAAAATACTATGTACCTATATGATGTAATAAATTTATGATAAATAAAAATAATTTTATATGTACAATCAAAACAAAAAAGGTGCTATAGTGAAAAAAGTAATGGTTTATTTTGCTATGGTTTGATTAACTTTAAAAGAAAACTAAATTTATTTTGGTTTACAAATAAAAAACGACTAGGTTGATTTTGTCAGCGTTTATTTAAATAGACATGACTAAACATAAGTAGTTTTTGTTTGTTATGTTACCTTTTTTATCTGTTAGAAAAATAACTTAGCATACATATTACATTTCGCGAAAAATTGCGTTTTCACGAACTTACAATGTATGCATATATAGCATTAATAAGTTGCTTAACAATTTACTGTTTTTTCCTAATTTTTCTTCCTATTTTTAAGTATTTGTATTTAGCCGAATAGTAAGAAGAATAAACCGAATATTCGTTGCAACTCTAATAATTATATTGTGAATGCAATAAAAAAAATGTTATTTAATAATATTGATTCTTTTGTCTCCCTAATCTATATAATTTATGTAAAAAATTCTCAATTTAATTTATAATTCTGATG